ATTCAAAATGTAGGTATCCCATCAGTGTAATACTTACTGTGGGAAAAAAAGCATGGATGGCCATAATGTGGGAAAATTAAATGATCTCTGCATCCCAGATTGAAAGAATGAGTCTTACTTACATAAGAACTTGTAACTGACCTGTTCTGTAATGCATCATTTGTTATGGCACCAGACCCAGCACTCTTGTTCGACCATCAATCCCTCACACAATGTATTATGCTGTCACTGTGGGGATGGCTGTCAGCATTATTCCTGACTGGTAAGCCAATATTTCTCTTATTCTTTTGTTTTTTTTTGGCATTTTGCCCATTGTTGTCTAGATATTCAGTCTGGGCACTGGTCCATGGTGTCTCTGGTTTCTTTCAAGTTGGCCTGCCCTCTTGGAAGCAGGCTGTTCTTTGTTACACCAAAGTGTTTGAGAACAATGACCTCTTTCTTTGCATTCCATGACACCTCATGACTCCGGCCTGCCGCATGCAAAGCACAACTCCAAGCAGTCTGTGCTGCTTCAGTACTGATTTGGACACTGCCAGTCTTGGTCACATCTTATTCCCCAGCCACCCAGCTACCCTCAGCACCGCTAACATCTCTGTTCCTCAAGTTCAGCCCCCTACCGTCAACCGTGATGCATCGCTTGACGTTCTTCAGCCCATTGTGCCTCTAGGGTCTCCCATCCGAATCCATGAACTGATGAGGTCTGACACGTTCACCCAGCCCATCTGCCCATGGTCCAAATACCCAACACAATGAACCTTCCATTGTTGATCACCATATCTCTCCTGGATGCATGGCACAGTTCCCTATTACCATTTCTCCAACCCCCCTGCATGTGAGGTTCGCACTGCTGCATCAGTCATCTCCTACCCCCAGCATCTCCAGCAAACTCACCCCAGCAGCCTTAGAGAGCCTGACTATTCAAACACAGTCTGGACTTATGAATTTACCTTGTCTAAACACTGGTTTTGATATATGTATCTAGCTTATAGAAGTGCAAGTGGTGTGAGGCAAGGTGGTGGAAAGGGTGGTAGCTCAGGTTGTCGGAACAGGAGGGATGGATCTAGTAGTGGTGAACCCTGAGCTGGCCATGTTGTTGGTTGACAAGGACGAGCAAGCGGAAGGAAGGCCACAGCCACGGCCACAGGTGCCGTGAAGCAGGTCAGCAACAGAGGTGCCACAGTTGGAGGGATTCCTAGAAACAAAGCTACGTCATGAGATGTTGGTTACAGGGCCATAGGGATTTGTTTGGAGGCAGGAGGAGGTAAATAAATGACCAAACAACCCTCCCAGGGATGGGGCAGGGGCTTGGGTAGGCCTGTGGAGGGGAAGGGGTGGGAAAGGGGTGGGAAATCCATCTGAAACAGGCAGGAATGGTGGGGCATGCATGATAGGGGCTAGTGGGATAGCGGGGTGGGTTCTGGATGTGGCAGGGGCCTAAAAATGGGTTGGGCGGGGCTAGATATGCATGGTAATAATTGTCATGGCCCCCACAGGGTGTGGGATGGGACAGGGGGGCCAAAAACATGAAAAATCCAGAGTCTTTTGCATTTTTAATACAAAACAATTTAATGTCAAATCAAAAACATATTTCAGTGTGAAACTTTGCAGACCTTTGTATCTATAGTGGAGGGTGCTTCATGAATATTTTGAGTATTTATTATGAATTATGGGGTGCACCACACAGCCAGGAATAGTGTGCGTGATGGGGTTTGATGTGCTTTGCCAAATTTGGCAATAAAATGATGGCTGCACATCCGTGCATAATTCTGGCTCCCCGTCGCATTATTTCACTTAGCTTTGGCTGAGCAAAATGTTGGGTACATTGATACCTTTCTGTAGACCCTTCAATCACATGAAGCAGATGAGAACTCGTTGAGATATGACAAATGCAATTTTGGCTACTATAATGCATGGTGCACCCATGCATCCTGGGGCTTGTTTAGGGCCATCTAACTTGGCCAAAAATCATGAAATACATGTCTGAGAGTAATAGTACCATTGGTAATGCCAGGGGGTGCCTGGGTGTAGTATATCTGAGAAGGGTATAGGTACACCAGGAGACCCACTCCAGATACCCCACTAAATGTAGCTCTGAAAGTCTGAAAGTTGGTATGTGGATGGTAAATATTTATTCATGAATTTAACATATTTTATCATAATTTTGTATGGTCTTGAAGCTGGGTTATTGAGCAATTTCCCACAAGCTGAAATATTCTATTGACCTCCAGAAGGGGAGATAGTGGCACATGTAAAATCATGATAAATGACAATAAATGGATAGAAACAGAATGAGGTATGTGCAAGAGCAAGGGAATGATTCTCTGTAAAGTTATTAAGAGGAGAAAGATGAGGTAGTCCCCCATATCAGTATCTATGTAAATACTTGCCAAATCTGCATATCGTGCCCATTCAATGGTGCGTTTGGGTCAGGGTAGTGTCCATTATCATATTTCAGTAGTGACGGGTGAGGCTCCGATGCCTGGGGGAAAGATTATTAAAGAAAGAGCTGAAAATGCATGAAAAACATGAAAATAATTAAAATGGGTACCTCGGAATTGTTCAAAAATTACCAAACTTTGCATGTAAGGGCCTATTAACATTCTGAAGGGACTGCAAAAGACTGGAAGCAATTCTGAGCAGTAGGTGCAAAGATATGTGAACTGAATTCCAAAAGCACCACTTGCATGAAAAGTTATAGCAGGATGTTGATGCTATTGCTGTCATTCTGATACCCTTTTTCATATCTTTGCACCTACTGCTCAGAATTGCCTCCAGTCTTTTGCAGTTCCTTCAGAATGTTAATAGGCCCTTACATGCAAAGTTTGGTAATTTTTGAACAATTCCGAGGTACCCATTTTAATTATTTTCATGTTTTTCATGCATTTTCAGCTCTTTCTTTAATAATCTTTCCCCCAGGCATCGGAGCCTCACCCGTCACTACTGAAATATGATAATGGACACTACCCTGACCCAAACGCACCATTGAATGGGCACGATATGCAGATTTGGCAAGTATTTACATAGATACTGATATGGGGGACTACCTCATCTTTCTCCTCTTAATAACTTTACAGAGAATCATTCCCTTGCTCTTGCACATACCTCATTCTGTTTCTATCCATTTATTGTCATTTATCATGATTTTACATGTGCCACTATCTCCCCTTCTGGAGGTCAATAGAATATTTCAGCTTGTGGGAAATTGCTCAATAACCCAGCTTCAAGACCATACAAAATTATGATAAAATATGTTAAATTCATGAATAAATATTTACCATCCATGTACCAACTTTCAGACTTTCAGAGCTACATTTAGTGGGGTATCTGGAGTGGGTCTCCTGGTGTACCTATACCCTCCTCAGATATACTACACCCAGGCACCCCCTGGCATTACCAATGGTACTATTACTCTCAGACATGTATTTCATGATTTTTGGCCAAGTTAGATGGCCCTAAACAAGCCCCAGGATGCATGGGTGCACCATGCATTATAGTAGCCAAAATTGCATTTGTCATATCTCAACGAGTTCTCATCTGCTTCATGCGATTGAAGGGTCTACAGAAAGGCATCAATGTACCCAACATTTTGCTCAGCCAAAGCTAAGTGAAATAATGCGACGGGGAGCCAGAATTATGCACGGATGTGCAGCCATCATTTTATTGCCAAATTTGGCAAAGCACATCAAACCCCATCACGCACACTATTCCTGGCTGTGTGGTGCACCCCATAATTCATAATAAATACTCAAAATATTCATGAAGCACCCTCCACTATAGATACAAAGGTCTGCAAAGTTTCACACTGAAATATGTTTTTGATTTGACATTAAATTGTTTTGTATTAAAAATGCAAAAGACTCTGGATTTTTCATGTTTTTGGCCCCCCTGTCCCATTCCACACCCTGTGGGGGCCATGACAATTATTACCATGCATATCTAGCCCCGCCCAACCCATTTTTAGGCCCCTGCCACATCCAGAACCCACCCCGCTATCCCACTAGCCCCTATCATGCATGCCCCACCATTCCTGCCTGTTTCAGATGGATTTCCCACCCCTTTCCCACCCCTTCCCCTCCACAGGCCTACCCAAGCCCCTGCCCCATCCCTGGGAGGGTTGTTTGGTCATTTATTTACCTTCTCCCACCTCCAAACAAATCCCTATGGCCCCAGCATCCCTGGCAAACTCACCCCAGGAGCCTTGGAAAGCTTGACTGCTTTATCACAGGCTGGACTTATGAGATCACACTGGCTAACTGTTGGATTTGATACATGTACCTAGCTTATAGAAGTGGATTATAAATCCTCACACTGCAGGCATTGGCACATAAAGTCGATGGGATTCATTTAGAATTTATCCAGACTTTATGGAAATATGACATCAAATAACTTCTGCATAAATTCTACGACTCTATTCTGTGTAAATTCGCCATCAGGCCCACAATTCTTTTTTTTTTTTTTTTTTTTTTTTTTGATCAGCAATTTATATAGCGGTGCTTGATGGCAGCCTGCTCACTATCTACAAACACGTATGCTACGTGGCCTGGGTACTAGGTTAACTACTAAAAGACGCTAGGTTAACTACTAAAAGACGACCGCCCCCCCAACCAAGACCCTTTGGGCTCAAACGCCTAAACTCCCCAGAGGGCAACCCACCTTGCGAAAATGGTGCATCAGGAAAATGGTGCATCAGGATAAGGGGAGGAAACCATTGAGGTTCTGCTACACCCCAAAGTCATTGATTGCTGTTTGGAGGCCACACAGCACAAATGAGATAAGAACAGCACCACCCAGGAGGTGGCAGGGTGTCTTGAGGCCGACAAGCCAGAGAAGCGCCTGCCCGAAACCAGATGCAGAGAGTTAGCAGTGCTGCAACTGACCAAAGAAGGTTGACCACCTGCACAAAAGAATTGTCATGGGCGCAGGTCTCCAAACCCTAAGGTTCGAGGGTGTCAATTCACCAATAAATCCTCCAAAAGGAAGAATAACCCCACCCGAGGCAATCATCCAACACCTGAAGGGTCCCAGTTGAAGCCAAACACCATAGGGTTGTGCTTCAGAAATGATGCAATATCCCTGAGAAAACAGGGATAATGTACAGAATACTGATCGCAGCAGCGAAAGAGGACGTGCTGGTGGGACTGCAGTGCAGCCCTGCAAGTGCAGCCATGAGGCTCATTGATCTTGAAGTGATGGTAGTACGCTCCAATGGGCGTGTGGCCAGTTATACACCAGCAAATGCGAGCGAACTCAGTAATGCTGTGTCCAAAGTGTGAGAGCCAAGGTCCCCCATTGAGGTACAATGGCTGGATCGGCCACCCGTCAGGCCACTGAAGCTCCAAGAATTCAGAGCCTTGGTATGCACGATCCTGGAACATGGAGCCCCATGCATCCAGACTTGAGTGCACAGCTCAAGAGCAAAGCGCGTCTATTGAATTGTCCGTCTCGGGCCCACGATTTCAGATCGACCAATCCTAAAGGATATTTCCAAGATTTTGGAGCACAACATGAGGCACTGACGAGATTGCTTCCCCACCAACCCATACTCATTTTATAGCTCTGAAATTTTGAAGAGAAGAAGTGTGTTAATTTCTGTATAAGATGCACAAACTGGCTTTTGACCAGGAGACAATTGACATTGGGGATGCCACTGTTTCACACTCAAGTGATTGATATCTCGAAAAGCGCCTCGAGGCCCTTGGCGAGGACTTTATGCAGATTGTAAGCAGAATTTATGTAGACTTTATTGTAAGAGAAGTCCTCAATAAAATCTACATCAAGTCATCAACTTTATGTACCATTGCTCGCCATGTAACAACAAGGGCTGGAAGACAGTTTTGTGGACCCTCCATTATCAATATGTGGTGACCAGTGTGGCCTTGGCAAGCTCACAGCACTTCTCGTCCATAGCTTCATATGATATTTTTTTCCTATCCACTCTATGAGTATCTATGCCCCTGTATTTTCTGTCTGAACTGAATGTCTAACTTAACTCTTTGCTTACTGTTTACTTTTTCTGCAAGGATGGATTGGCAGAAACTGAATTGCAAAAGTCAAGGGGCAAAGTCATCAGCTGGTGCCAAATGGTTGGATTGACAATGTTATTGTATTTCGGGCAAAATTCTACAGACAGCGATACGGAACACATGCATGAGGATACTGTAAGCTGATAACAACACTCTTCTATAAAATTAGAATTGATAAAAAATAAGTAGAATACGTTGAAATGGATTGAACATGCATATTCAAGTACAGGCGGGCAAAGAAGAACGGCAATAAACGAACAGTAAAAATGGTGGTACAAATTTCGCGAAAGAAACAGTTACATTGAAATGAAGAGAACAAGATACCGGATACAACCTTTTCTGGGGTATTGGGTTTCGGACATTGAGTCAACACTTTGCAATTAGGCCCGAGGAATCAAGGAGATGCCGGATCTGCCAGGTTCGTGAGCTTGATGTAGACTTCGTCTTCCTCATAATAATCGCCGACGCCTTCTATAGTCGATTCGTGGTGGCAGGTGGCAGCATGCTTCCACCTAGAAGAATCAAGGAAGCGGGTATAAGCCTAGAGAAGGAACAAATGAACGAAAGACGTACCAGTGCAATTCTTTGACCTGAGCAAATCATAAACAATGTCAGTATTTCGATGACTTGAGAAAGAAGGGGTCGATACAAACCTTGTTCTCCATATCCTTGATACCTTCAACAGCAATCCATTTGTCACATTTGTGGCATTTGCCTTGCTGGATCTGGTGGCGTTCCTTCTTGCCAGGGTTTGGGCGCCGGACAGTTCGGAACATGGTAGGAGGAGAGAAAGGTCGGCCGGTTGCGGCTGATATACCTGGATTGTAGGCGCATATGAGCGATGACAAAGTAGAAAAGGGCAGATAACGACCGCACCATGGGCGTACTGCATGTGGTAGCTAAGGATAGGAGATTAGAAAGAGAAAGGAAATATGAAAGAACCATATCACTCACTTAAAAGCTGAGAATTTCATTGCAAACCAGAGCTTCTTGTTTTCGCCGCCTCGTGAGAGAGGTTCGACGCAGATCGGGCATAGGCCGACTTTCTCAACACCCTTGCCTTTGACAAAGCGTGGTGTGTATAGGTCCAACACGCTGCGAGGAGGGTTGTACGATCCTCCAGGAGGTGCAACGTTGCAGAGGCTATAAGGAGAACTGTCAAGCATGTTAGCAACGAAACACGAGGAAAGGAAGGGAGCTGTAAACGTACTCGGCGTCTGGAGCTTGGTAGGACGCGCTCATTGGGAAGCGCCGGTAGAACAACGGGAAGTTCGGCGAAATTTCGATGCTTGCAGGAAGAGTCCGGTTGGTGAACACAGGGGTCGACTCTGTCCCTGGTTCTGGCGAAGCAGCCCGTTCGGACGGCTCGCTCTCGACGGGAGACGACTCGATGATAGTCGCTCTGCGAGATCGCTTGCTTCGCCGAACAGGAGTGGTGGGTACTGGATCGACGGCTGGGCGTTTAATCTTAAGAGTGATTTTGAGCAGGGCAGGAGCAGGAGCAGGTGAAACGGCAGGTGAACTTGTCAGTGGTGTAAGGGGTGTTAGCGGAGAATCAAACAAAGAGCGTGCTGAGAGACTAGCGGATGGCACAAGCAGAGGTAATGGAGGAGCGCCTTGAGATATCAGAGTAGTTTGAGCGTCGGCAGTAAAAGGTTTCTCTAGTTGAAACCGAGGAGAGCGTGCAGGGGCAAGTTTGCAAGGAGAAAGGAGAGCAAGGGAAGCAACGTTTGTCGTTTGTTCCGACGCTTCTGCAATAGGCTTTTGAGTTCGAGCTGAAGCTGTGTCTGCTTGCACAGAAGTAGGAGCAGCGTGAAGCCTTTCCATAAAAGATGTCGCCAACTGAGGGTGGCCAGTTCTTCTCTTTCTCTTCTTGGTTTTCGGTGCTGGTGCTTCCACAGGTTCGAGATACTCCTGCATCTTATCTGCACGAACGACAGGCGAGAAATCCGAGACATGTGCAGCCAGCGAAGGTGCTGCAGGGTCGTAGTAGAGTTGTCCGAAAGGGCTCTTCTGAAGGTCCTGAATAAGCTGCGAAGCTGGTGAAGCGAAGAGAGAGACAGGCGAGAGAGATCCCAGAGTTGGTCGATGTAGGCCATGTTTAGCGGGAGAGAAGAGTTCAAAAGTGCGAGGAGAGGGCGTATTTATGAGTGTTGCGCTATTTGACTCAAGCGAGAGCATCCGATGGTGTTGGTTGAAGATCCCAGGAACCTGAACGTCCATCTGTACTGCTGAAGAGGCGTTGCTGCCAGTGTTGGCGGGTGTCGGTGCGGGTCCTCCGTCGCGTAGGTTGTGTAGGTTGTAGATGTAGCGATATCCAAGCCCATCGTCACTTGACGGCACATTGACGCGTGTCGACGAAGAAACATCGAGCAGTGGCGAAGACGGGTCGGACGTCGACGCTGCTGATGGTGAGATGTGCAGCCAATCCGTAAAGTCTGCAGGCGACGAAGACGTCGTCGGTATCGGCGAGCTCGTGCAGGTTGCGGCAATAGAGAGGAGCCAGTCGAGGGCGGCGTCGGACTCAGAGTCTGCGCTCATCGTGGGGGACGATGACGATCGATTTGTGGGGGAAATCAGGGTCGAATGCAGGGTCGTCCGTATTTGGCCTCTTATTTGGTCACTTCAGACTCCGACAGACGTGGCTGCTGGTCGTCGTGTACGTCGTTGACCGCAAACTGTAATGTTCCTTCACTTTCTTTCATCGCTTTTCGTCTTTCTCTATCTCTCCGTCGCCGTTAAGGCCTCAGCACTGACGACGGCGATCGCGCCTAATGAACGGGTCTGTTTCTACGCGGATGTAGACAAGGCAGGAGAGAAGATCGGGGTGTGTTTCTTTCTCGTCTACCTCAAAAAGCTTGTCTTATTTCCTCCTAGTTCTACTATGCAGTGCGTGAATAAGCGCCGTGATACCCTCTTCATATGTTTGACTTTTGCCCAGGTGCAATCAGGAGGCTCGTTCGATATCGACTTCGACATCAAAGACCCTAACCAAAAGGTCATCCTTGACGGCGAGCGCGAGCGACAGGGCGACTACGTTCTCACAGCGAACACCATCGGCGAATACTCCTTCTGCTTTGAGAATGACATGTCTACACTTACCGACAAGCTTGTCGATTTTGACATCATGGTTGAGAGTGAACCTCGCCGCGAGGCACCAGCGAAGCCTGGTCAGATCTCTGAGCATACTAGCGCATTGGAGGAGAGCGTCTTCAGGCTGAATGGGATGCTGATGAATATCAAGAGGATACAGAAACAGTAAGTCGTTGGTTTTGGCTTGTTGGGCGAATTGGTGATTCACAGGCATGAAGTCACCACACACAGGAGAATCGCGGTTTCTCAATCGTCAAATCAATACAGAAGTATGTCAGACCTCGTCGTGTGTTGGGGCAACACTTATTGGTGCTTTCTCAGTCGTTTGTTCTGGTATTGCGTCTTGGAAAGCTTGGGCGTTATCGGCATGGCCGTGTACGTGTCTTCCCACCTACACTTGCCTACCCCTCTTATCTTTGCTTCAGCCTCCAGGTGTATATCCTCCAAACATTCTTCACCAAAACAGGGAGGCGATATAAGGTTTAAATCCCTGTAACGCACGTTTTCAGCTTCATGTAGTTATGACTTGTGGATATTTATGACTTTCTTTTCCTTCTACTTCATGGTACGAACGTCAAGTCACAAACCCCATTTATCCACTCTACTCCCGTTACTAATCGGCAAGCTCTCTGGATATGGCCAATCGCAACGTGGTAGCGCGAACAGGTCGTAAAGTACTTAGCAGACAAACGGACGGAAGCAGGATATCATTGAAGGCACAATTTGTAAGACGATTTCACTGCTGCTACGGAGAGGAACTTATACACCAGAACGTGGCCAGGCTCAAGGAAAGAACTGTCGAGTGATATAAGAGACCAGATCGTACTGGACCAAGACGCAAGGACTACACTAAGTGAGCATGTGAAGCATGAAGGGAAAACGAAGCTCGATCGATAACGAAGATAATACCAATCTGTCACTGCATAACCGTCATGGTGTGGACATAGCGGAGTTTTCCTTCTTGAATGCGGAACTCGTGGCTGTCGGGAATTCCATTCGCGCCACCGAAGTTCAAAAACACGTCGACTGCGCCAACCGTCTCGTCGATAACATAGCGGCGGTTCACAAGCTGGACGCCGCTCGGTACTCCAACGTTGCACGTGTCGGTTGGCAACCCCCTCCCAGTATACGCTCCACCCTCGAGGCGCGCACATGGCGTACCCCATGGCACGACGACACTGGGATTGTTGAACAAGTCGAGATACGCGTCCGCTGCCGCCTGGATCGTCGCACGGGTGTCCCGCCTCTCCTCGGGGATCGTGCCCCAGTTCTCCTGCTGCGCCCAATACAGTGTGCCCGTCGCGTTGAACAGCCAGTCGCCCTGGTCGGTGACGATCGAGTCGACCCTGGACGCCTGGCCGGCCTCGGTGAAGTGTATCTGCGTGCCGATCACATACGGGTGTGCGCTATCGGTAATGATGAGCTCGGTGTAGGTCGCACACGCTGTTGTGTCGTGGATGCTGCGGTTGTGGTCGATCCTGAGCGGCCGGGAGAACACGCTGTTCCTGATGTCTGCAGTCCTGAAGTTCTCCGTGTAGGTGGCCGAACTGAGGGCGGTAATCTGACCGGCGGCCCGCGAGGCAACGTAGTCGGTGGTTGCCTGTTGCAGCGTCGTGTAGCTGCACTGGGCCACGGCCTGAGCGACGAGAGCGGCGGAGACGAGCAAAAGTAAGCGAAGCATTTTCTTCTGGTTGTTTTTGGCGAGGGCGTTAATGATCGACAGTCGCGGAGTTGAATTCTTGCTCACCTTTTTATCCTCTACGCTCCAGGAATGTGATTCTACCGAGGAAACAAGCTTCCCCGCTCGTTGGCTGCTACGGGGCAATAAGTTCAGAACTCGACCCTTCTCTAATTGAAACAATGAGGACCCATTCAAGCCGGCGTGAATATTCGGGGTCGAAATCGCCGAGCCGTATTTAAAGAAGTTCCTCGCGAGTTGTATCTCTGGATAAATTGACTTCCTCTTTGAACTTTCGAATCTCAAGGCTGAACATTTAAGGTCTCTGTTATTCCGTGTCTCGCTCATGAGGGCCAAGCAGCACTTCACCGGCGGTTTCTTCTGCAGATGAGCTCGGGTCACCTATCATTCCGCCGAGGACGAAAATAGGCCCATTTTACGAAGTGCTCTGTCTGTCACTATCACATAGCTGGTTATCCCGACAGCGATTCCCAGACTCTCCTGAGTTCCTAGCAGTCGGTGGTCGTTCATCGCATTCAAGAAAGGACGTTCATCCGGGGTATAGAATCCTTGATGGGAGTTATGTATGAAGCAGAAAATGGAACGTATGGTGTCGATGAGGTTTGAGAAAATGAGCAAATTCTCGGCCAATGTCTGCATCCCGCTTCATCGGGGCCAATCTAAGGCTTCACTTCAAATCTCCAGCAATTTTTTTTAACGGTAGAAAATCTAGTGACGTGCGAAGATGATCGCTCATATTCATCTCCAAAATAATTTGACGTGGTCACTAGTATAAATGCAAGAAGTCTATGCAGGAGTTGCAGGAGTTTTGGGAGATGACGGTTGATGACACCTCCTTGGCGTTGGTGCGGCGCATCTCGATTTGTTTCCTTTTAGAGGCACCTTACGCCGCTATCTTCCACACCTGAGGCACCAACAGACATGCGAAGGGTTAAACGGAAACATGGTTGTCATTCAAACAAAACTCGAAATAAAAGCATGGACTTCGTGACGAACAGCGAGAAGGATGTAAAAATTGAAAAGATACGAATATTCGAGTCCGAGGTCGAGCTACAGGGAGAGCACAGAGAATTATCAAAAACACACAGGCTCAGCCTGGTTCCGGCTGACAATTGAAGATTGACGCTCAAATTCAGGGGTCAAGTCCCAGCCTACGTCTAGTTGAGAGGAACCTCAATGGTCGCGGGACTTTCTGGGACAAGGTGGTAAAAACAATGAATGAGTCATCCGGACGCAATAAGGAGCTGTGAGAAGGGAACACACCTGTACTCGCCCTCGGCAGCGACACTGAGTTCCTCGATCTCGCCCTGGACGGTGGAGAGTGCCTCGGCGGCAGCGCTGAAGTAGACCAGCTGTGACTTGACGAGCTCGTTGAGGTTCTTGATAGGTTCGGGCTGGAGAAGATGAGATTAGGAGGAAGATAGAGGCGACGTTAGGCATAAGAACGAGAGAAAAGGTAGGACAGTGGGGCTTACGTTCTCTAGGACAGTCTTCATGAGCGTGATGGCGACTTCGGTCTTCTGCACGAGGTCGTCCTCGGCGTTCTCGACCTCAAGACGAGCATGCTCTTGTTTAGCAGCACTGGCGCTCTTCAACCTGCAAGCCAGCAAAACCAAGTCATCCAAATCTACTCTACAAGCTCGGAGGCAATGAGATGACGTACGACTGTTTCGCCGCATCCAACTCCAACCGACTAACCTTGACCGCCTGGCGCGCCTTCATCGCGACCGCAATGCTCGCATTCAGCGTCGTCTGCCAGGGGTGCAAGAAGTTGTCCTGAATCGCCGCGTCCTGATCCAGCCTTGCCTCTGCGACCTTCTCCCATCCGCTCGCATACAGGCCCAGGGCCCTCCCCAGCTTATCTTCGCCTCCGTCAGTCGGGGTAGCAGCGACGGTGGACGCTGCAGCGTGCGCGGCACGGGCGAGGGCGTGCGGGAGGGTCTTGTGCTGCGACACCGGCGGAGAGGTGGGTGTAGTGGGCACAGGAAGGTTGGTTCCTTTGAGGTTGGATGCAGCAAAGTTGGTGATGTTGTACCCGATCGAGGACGATAGCTCAGAGAGGGACTCTTGGATTTGCACGGGGTAATCGTAGGTTTCGGACTCGTAGACTTTGGTTATCCTGGTGTGGAGATTGCTTAGCCTGAAGAACGGGTGGCGAAAGATACAAAGGAGGACGTACTTAAGGATGGAGATGTGCGCAGCGCGTAGGGCATCGACGCGAGCTTCGAGGTCTTTGTACTCTGCATTATCCAAAGTCAATCTTCCACTGTACATTTCATGCATGCAGTGGCCAACTCACCCTGAGGAAGCTCTGTAATCTCGTCTGGCGCGACCTGCCCAAGGCGCTCACGAGTCGCCTGCACGCCCGAGCTGAAACCCTTGCTGAGCTTGGTGCCCGCCTGGGCGAAGTTGATGTTGTTCAAACTCGACGAGATCTTGCTCCAGCCGTCCATAGCTGCCTGTTTCGCTGAGAGAAAGGTCTTCTGGGCGAGTGGCGGAAGGGAAGAGTTGGTGGTGCTGGGAGCGGTGTTGGGGGTCGGGGCGGTGTTCGAGGGGTCGGGGGCCGCGGCCGAGGAGGCGGTGGGCTCGGGGGTCGCCGTGGTGGTCGTGTTGTGCGCTGAGTCGTCCGCTGTGGACGACGTTGGTGAAGGTGGTGGTGGAAGGTGAACTAGGGCAAACTACGGAATGATCTGCATTTGGTTTGGTTCGCCTACGATGGCCGGGGTCCGTGCACCGCCCCGGCTCCGTTGTCCTTTCAGTCAGCGGCATCTTCTCTCCGTCGGCGCAAGGTCTTGAAACGCCCAGGCTCTCATCTTCGAGAATGCTGCTTTAATTTCGGTTGGCAAGGCAATTTTTTAGGCGCAGAAGCACCGACACCGAGCACCGATTCCGAACTGTTTTCTTGACACACAAGAAAAGTAAATTGTGGCGTATGGTAACGTCTCTAGGCTATTCCATGCCATCGGCCTGCGAATGGAGTGTCTCTAACACCGGTAAAATGCAGGAACACGTCAAAGGATAGAAATGGTAAATTCTACACCCTCGATTCGCGATTCATAGTATGGCAAATCAAATAATCGCGACTAGTAACTAGCCCTTCAACATCATGATGTCAGTGGAAGAACGGTTTTAACAAAACCGTTCTTCACATGGTTATGACGCCCTCTAGGTGAGCAGAAAATGGGCTTCAGTCTTTGTCGACTTGTCTCCCAATCCTTTCAATGAACGCTGGATTTGTGTCTGATAAGATAAGATGTTTAAAGATCAACGGGGTTCCAATCCTTATCGGGGTCTGTGCAATTTCCTTCCAACTACTCCCTTCCCTCTTCAAATTTCAAAGCCGTACGCCCTCCAATCGATCTGGTCTGATACCTCTTCCACATGGACGAAGTCCAAAATTCCTCTCACTCGAAGACATGCACGGGGCTCCCAGCAATCTCCGGACCTCTTTTCTCCTGCTTCTGAAAGGCGGATGTCGAGATAACGTGCTAAAAATATGTCGCTCTAAGCTGCTGTACTAAATTTACTACCAGGAGACGGACAGATATAAGACAAGGAAATCTGCGTATCATCGGAATTGTGGATCAGCAGGCTGCAAAATTGCACCAGGCCCATGTGGCCACTCAACGGGCTGCAGGCTTTCAAGGTCCACGACAGGAAACGTTGGCGAATGTCTGGCTGTTGTGAGTAACTCGTCCCTGCAGAATCGCACATGTTTTACTGAGATGTTGTAGATAGCCTTCCTTTCCACGTGTATTTTCCTCGGAAAGAAGTAGACCCACGTTCGTCTATCTCTACCTTTACAGCACCGACAAGCGTATCAGGACGCGGACGCTCGCTGATTTGCGTGGACGATGGCCACAATGCGTACTGCGATCTTCATCTTCGTTCTCCTCAAAATCACTCTCGCAGCACCGTTGAGTCGCAGAGCTCTCTCGACTCCAGTAAGCCCAGCTACAGCAAATCACAACGTAAGTCAAGCGCATATATTTACTTTATCGATTATAATTCAAGCTCATAGTTACGGTGGCCGTTGATTCCAACTCTCCTGCATACAGCCGCGACCTTTTCAAGATTTGGGATATCAGTAAGTGAGGTTTCTACTGATGCAGAAAGAACGTATATTGGAAAGTCTCATGAAACTCATGATTTTTTCGCAACTTATGAAACCTCATGACACTCAATGGGATGGTGGGACTTTGTAGAACTTGATGAGACTCGATGAGACTGTCTGGAACTATGAGACTTCGTGGGACTTCAGGAATTGGTGGAACTTCGTGAGACTTGCAATATTCATGAGACTCCGTGAGACTTCTCTAAATATATAAGGGGGTCAAGAGTTTTCGTCCATTCCCCTTTCCCCTTTCCTACGTCCCCCTGCCGATAGCCTGAGTTCCTGCCACTACTGCGTAAATCTGCCGGCACCTCGGCCAATTTACGTCTGCCTGTGGCGCGGCATTGGTTTTGCCGACATTTCGGCTGAGTTTGAATTAGCCCTCGTTCCGTCACACCTTCCTGCCGACTCCCGACGCGAACACTGACCGCGCTGAGCAAGGACCCCCGATAATACTGAAAGAGGTAAGGTATGAAATTCGGGGGTCGCGAAGGGTTTATGGGTTGACAAAATTTCCCCAAATTCCGGCCAAAAATCGGGTTGATAGCGCACCCAACCTCCAAAGTGTTGCGAAATTGGGCTGACAACAATATCCGACCTTCAAAAATCATGAAAAATTCTCTGCAGGCTCCTGTATGTAATTACATTGATGTACTATATTTCCTCATCATCTCTGGTCTGTTTTTGTTGTGTTACAAGCAGCCGAGTGACTGCTGCAGCAATCTGTGCCCTCTGTGGCAACAATTTGACATAAACCTCGTCGAAAAACTTCAGGGTGAGTTTGAGAATGGCCCCTTCGTTCACTTCACGAACGCAGCTAGATGGCACGAATATCAAGAAGGCTGCAGCTGGGAGATTCAGATGAGTGTACCGCAGGAGTCCAAGAGACCGCCAGAGCAGCTCATTGGAGATGATCGCAGGAACATCCTCATATGTCTTTCCCTTTCCGATCCACTCCAGGATTGCGTCGGATGGTTGATCAGCCATGCTGAGAGGTGTGGCGCGAGTGGGGGAGTCACAAAAGGCAGAGAAGCTGTAGCGAGGAGTGTATGATTCATGAAATAGGGAGGCTCGAAGGCCACTTCAACAAAAACGCATGTTGACGACTCAGGAGTCAGAGCCACAATCCACGGCAGAGAGGCGAGCAAAGCCAAGCCAAGCCTGGCCAAGTAGCACAATGTTTGTCTGTGCACCTGAGTGGCCCATGGTACCTTGTGGGTTGACAGTACCCAACCTCCAGGATGTGGCCGGGGTAGCGGGTTGACACCTGCATCTGTGTCGAGGAACTTCAGATGGGCCACCGTGGGTTGACATCAGCCAAGGGATATCTGAGCTATGCGGCCGTCGGCCGCGAGTTTTGGGTTGACCAGTATCTTACCTTTTTCAGTATTATCGGGGGTCCTGCTGAGCAGCGCCGCCTCACCGCCAGGCCCATGAAAGACCACCCAGCAGGAAGAGCACCGAGGAGAGGAGTACATAAGGGAAGACCCACCGCACGGGGTGAGTCGCGAGCGCCCGGACTATGCACTCCTTACCTACCGTCCCCACCGATGCCCTCCGTGCGCTCACCCTCGCCCATACTGAACGCATTTAGCAAGGCCACGTCTCACAACCCCTGATTGTGCTAGATACCCACCACTTTATCGTTACCACCGGGTCGCGCGCACACGCCACGGAGGTGACAAGGACGACGCCCTGCCCTACCATGCAGACAACGACGGCGCCCCGCACCTCGCTTCTGATACGTCACGGTGACGCTCCGCGAACGCGCACACCAGCGCCATGCCGTGCCACGAACCTGATGACAAGTTACTTGACAACGGCGCCGCCGCCGTTATTCGTGCGCCCTGAGGGTGAACCGAATGACACGCGCACGACCCACGAAGACCAACCGCTCGCTGATTTCCCATCCCAGTGCCCCAGACAGCGTGCATGGGTGGTCCACCCTCGCAGGTGTTCATCACGGTGTCATTTGACGCTCTGCGATGCTTTTCGCGGGGCAAGTACACTCGTGTCTAGTCCTATTCCATCGTTGACCCACACATTGAGACAGCATGGGCACGGGTTGCCAAAGGTCAGAGTACGGGCAACGCCCGAAGTCCCCAGGGGTTACTCCTACTCAGGGTTAAAAGCGAGAAAACTTCTGTCATCAAGTCGTCCCGTAGTTGAAAGAATCTCTTGAGTCATCTTTCACTGTATATTCACTGTACGATGACGCTCTTCTGAGAAAATAATATATTGCTCTTTAACCCTGCACACTATGTCAGATTCAATGAATAGGAAAAGTACATAGCAAGCAGCCATTGAGAGTGTAAATGTGTAAGAATTCTAGCACCAAGTCTAGGCGATGATGTAAGTACACGAGAACTAGATAAAAAGGCAGATAACTCACGCAAGTCATTTGGGAAGTAAATGGCTGAGGAGATGACACTGAGTCGTCGGTCTATAGAGTAGCTTATATACATAGTAAGTACACTGTCCGGAAAGTAGTCAAAAAGACAGGAGCAAATACACCAATGAAGAGACAATGTGAAATAAATAACAGCGCAGGTACACGAATGAATGCGAGGCAATGCAGCACGGAGAATAAGCAAAAGAAATAGATTATGTACATACCCGTGACGAGACGGTGGCGCTAGAGGCACGGGCGCTAAAATGGAGCAGAGTCGGCCCGTGTTTGCCGTCTATATTCCAACGAAATGGTTTAGGAGCTGTCGAGGCGGTGAGAATTCCTGTATTTACCCAATGAGAGTTCGCATCCGTATCGCAGATGGGGTTGCAGCAGATGGGTTGCTTCGAGTTGGGGGAGTACTTATATATGTATACCCGTGAAGGCCTTGCCTCTCACGGCGTTCAAATCAAGCTCGAGTTTCACAAAAACCTTTTCGTTTCCTTTTGAGGTCTCACAAGTCTCACGAAGTCCCACTGGGTCCCAGGTCCCACGAGTCTCACGAAGTTCCAAGTCTCATGAGACTTTCCATTTCACGTTCGTCCTCTACCGATGAGATGAGCCCTGCTTATTTATTTATCCAGTCTCCGGGAACTGCGATACTCGCGAGAGTGAGCTATCTCGTCAGATCTCGTCCATTTTTCGCTGAGTGACTCATTTACGCATATAGCCGTCCTCAAGCGCGATGGGACGAACGTCGTCACCAATAGTGCCTGCAGCGCGACCTCTGGACACTGGGTATCGCCTTATGACGGAATAGTGACTGACTTAGCGAGCGATCTTGACATAGTGCGTTCGTCTTCGTGAAGAAATCGTTCGAAATGCTTAACAAATATCCAGGATCACGTCGTTCCTTTGAAAGAGGTTTGATTTCTGTCTGTATTACCCTGAATTTGTTCTTGAACAATTCGCAGGCATGGGTGTTGGGTGCTCGTAATTGGACTCCGGCTCAACGCGAGGCTTTCGCGAACGACTTGACTCGTCCTCAACTGGTGGCTGTCACTGATAAGTGAGTACTTTGTCGAATTAACAGCGGATCCTTCTGCGCTGGGCTCGTTAGGCGACCGAGGTGTGTAGATCCAGCGCTCATCACCTGCGGCTTTTCGTGATGCTTGCATAACAGACCCTGCAAACTGGCTCCCGCCTCTCAGCAGCTACGTTTGCACATACGTCTGCGCCTGGGTCCAAGTGAAGTACTACTACGGCCTGACCATCGACTCTGCCGAGAAGACCGTTTTAACTAATATGCTGGGTGGATGCTGAATACCCTCTGAACGATTTGCTTATTAGAATAGAATAGACAGATCTGCGACTCAATGCCAAGAAACAACTAGAATGGAGAGCGGGAAGGCTAAATACTTGTCACCAACGTGAAACCAACATGTAGCTTCCCTCAGATCCCCTACGAATCCTCCTACCAGCCTACATCTTCGTTCTTCACACACTGCCGCGAAGTTGATAGATCAATATCCGTTATTTGGACCACGAACAACAGCCAGAGGGTCAAAAAAGTGCCACTCTCTCGAACAAAAAATGTATGCAAGTGTAGGTCAGATTGAAGAATTTGTATGGCTTGCACCATACCCTTTTCTCGCACCCTGCTAGGATGGGTCGTATATAGACACGACAGTCTTTGGCCACTTTCATGAAGACTGAAAGAAAGGATATTTTGATGCGCTATGCATTCGAAGATGCTTCCCAAAGGTACGCTTACTAGGAACAAAGGTCTAAAATTTAAGTCGCTTATAAACGAGAATTAAATATGATTATGGGCGAAAACGTCGCGCGCTATCGGTGTCTGCATCTAGATTGTAATTGGGCTGCAGTTGACTCCAACAACTTGGTCTAAGAGGTAGAGAGTTAGTTGTGAATGCTGAACAACAGGACGCAGAAGCTGCATACAGAGGGAGAGCTGAGTGTCGAAGGTCTTCTCGCAGCACACGGGAGTCGTTGAGCTGAAGGGACGGATTAGAACATGCTGAAAGGCGAAGGCCCGGACGTACCACGAAGCGCCGGAGCCAACACCGATGACAGTGATAGGGCTGCACTCGACACCAACAAGGGCGTTAACACCACTGACCGCCACGCCGACGAGCGAGAGCGCGTTAGTGGCGGTAGCTGAGCTGGGCGTAGCAATGGCGTCGCAGCATTGAATGGGGCCAGTGTTGCAAGATGAGTCAATAGCGGCGACGGAAGACGCAATGGCGGCGGTGATGAGGAGGCCCACGTTAGGGAACATCTTCCGATTCGATTGCTTTGATGTAATGAGTGTAAGTGCGGGGAGTTTATGCGACTGAAGATGCAAGAAGCAAGAAGCCCTTCTATTTATGCAAGAATGTCTTCTGAAAGAGTACAAGACAGCCGCTTCCCTGCTCCGAGTCAAGCTGCGCCGACTCCAAGTCCCCGTCGCCATTCCATGGCTCCAAAACCCCAACACACCAGACAACGCTGGCACCACCTGCTTGGGGAACCAGTTTAGCTGCTATCGCTTCCGGACAATGCCGGAATCGTCACCGCAGCACATAAAGATCTGTCTTGGAAGCGCCCGCCTACTTTCAACCGGCAGCCAAGGAAATAATTCCGCCCTTCGCTGCTTACCGAATTTGGCTAGGTCATTTCCAAAACCGACTAGAGTACCGCCGAGGTCGAAGATTAGCAGCCTCGAGTCTCTCGCCTGTGGCAGAATGACATAACACATCACACAAAGTGATTACAGTCTTCGGGCATCCGAGGACGAGGCCTAGATAAACATAATTTCATAATTAGCGTTGTCCTGACCCTGATTTTGATTTTGAACGCCGAGAGACTCTCAAATCCCCAAACCTCTGTCGGCCTCGTAAATTCGCAATGCATATTAAAATTATTCGTTACGAAGGAGTAATAATTTCATACTTGGCTTCTTGAGGACTTCCTATGGCGGTAGAATTTCTATCACTACATGGTGTGGGATCGTCCTTCTCGAGAAGACTTCTAGCGTTGTCGGCGATTAACATTGACGGATAAAACTTATCAATTAATTCTTGATGGGCGGCTAAAGCGCTTCCTCCTGGTTCTTCCTAAACATTTTTCTCGGTCCGTACTTGGTTTGGCCAGAGTGACTTCGTGACGAGTGTAGAGGGCCGCCGAAAGGTATAAAACCCGTTCTGGGTTCACTCTCTCCCCTCAGTCGAACACACTTTTTCGTTCAGCTTCACCCAGTCCAGCAACCAATATGTTCTCCAAGGTCGCCCTCTTCATCACCGCCGCCCTCGCCGCCTCGGCCTTCGCCACCGATACTACCAGCGCCATTCAGTGCTGCAATGCGCTTGCTGCTCCCAAGTCTGCCACCGCCACGGGTATCCTTGCCACCGCCGGCATTGCCGTTCAAGACATCACTGCTCTCGTCGGTGCTGATTGCACTCCTATCACCGTCATTGGGGTTGGAAGTGGCGCTGCATGGTACGCTTCAACAACATATTTTTGAGGTCTTTCCTAATTCTTTTTCTTCATCGCCGCAGTGCGACCCAGCCCGTCCAGTGCGAGAAGATCTACTCACGTATGTCTGATTCTCAAACGTTTTCCTCATGCATTACTAACATATGGGCTCTAGATTCTCTCGTTGGAGTCAACTGCACTCCCGTTGGCGTCCAGCTCTAGAAGACCTGCAGTGGGAAGGAGAGGTTGGGTTTCTCGGTTGGGTTTTCCCCGACCTCATCTTTAGCGTACAGAATCACTTGTAATGCCTTCGTATCGCCATGACTCTATCCACTTCATGGCAATTCCCGTCGTATGTCGCAAAGCTTGAACAATAAGTGTTCGGAGTAGCCGGTAGAGTCAAAGCCAGTCATTTTTCGAAGTTAATACTGTATGGTTTCTCTATGGTCAGTAGACCCTGGTCTGAAAATGCCAGGCCGTGAACGATCTATCCGAAGTTTGCTAGGGTATGTATATACACAAAGGAAGGATGATACGCCAGACAGAAAGAAACTTCATAAATATGCTGATGGTTGCGAATGATATCGTGCTTGAGTAAATCTGCAGAGTATAAAATGAAAAGTTGAACGCGATCTACTCTAATGCGCTATGGTCTCTTCTCCCAAGGCACGTACTCATCCTCTTTCCAATGAGGATCCTGGTTCAAATCTCGAACCACCTCTCCGCCTTCCATCCTATCGACAAACGATCGTCCTTCATGCGACGCAATAAGCGCATCCTCCACCGTCCTCGGTCTGCCCTCAATATCACGTCCTCCCCGTACCCTTAGCCCGTTGTACTCCCCATTGCGCACGAGTACCGGCTTGCGCTTCTCCTTCCTCACCTTCTCCTTCATCGTGATGCCCAGCTCCTCGAGACCCGCCAAGAGCGGCACATACAGCGTCGGGTGCGTTGGCTTGTGCACGCCAGACATGCCGAGAGTCTTTCCGTCAACGATGAGCAGCGCCGCGAGGGCGACAGGGAGGCCAACCGTACGCGCCATCGCCGACGCAGGGCGAGCACCTTTGAAACCGACATCGGATTCGTGCGTGCCGTGCGTGATGAGCGTAGATGTATGGATCTCGACTTCACGAGGGGCCGAGGGGCTCGCGAGGGGCTTGCGCTCGGTGATGATCTCGTGTGAGAGGACGACCATGTCGCGCTCGTGCGGCTCGTACTTGAGCTTCGCAGCCAGGACGTAGGCGAAGATGTCAAGTGGGGTCATTGCACCGGCGGGCAGAGGAGGCATCACTCGAGAATGAGAACGAGATGGGCGGGGTACGGTAGGCTTCGCCAGACCGAGATATTCGAGCGCCTCTTGAAGTGGGGCAAGGTGTTCCAAGGGAATGATCGAGGGCAGAGGCGGCAGGATACCGTCGTCGATCTTGTACATAAGGAGCATGCTTTGTGTCACAAAGGTGCCCCAGTCGTGAAGATGCATTTCCTTCTCGTTGTTCAGCAAGCCGAGTGTCTTGAACGACTGCATGAGAGAACTGAAGCCTGGATACCTTCATGCCAAAGTCGATTCAGAAGCGCTGTCTTTCAGCATATAGAGGGGCTACATACCTGAGCGTTCCGCGAACGAAGGTAGGAACTGGGTATCTGATATGATAAGCAGTGATATAAGGCAACGAGTATCGATTTGGGAGGCCTTCAAGCTCAAATTCCGGGGTGATAGGGAGGTTGTGGAATGGTGACGAGAGCAATTTGTTGCCCGACACGCGGTGGTCCTGCCGACGTACGGCTATATCAGACAACATTCCTCAACTCACGAAAGGAAAATCAATCACGTACCACACCATCCAAACGATACTTCGCCGTATTCAGGGTAGCCGTCAGGACACCTTGCGGACGCCAGCTGAACTTGTACCTCAGCGGGACGAACGAGTCTTCGAGAGCAGGTAGGCCGCCACAGAACGACGTGAACGAAATGATGGACCTTTCGTCCTTGTGGATCCTGTCGATCATGTCTTGTGCGGAGAGATGGTCGATGCCTGGGTCGAGCCCGATCTCGTTGAGCAGAAGGACACCTTTGCTTTTCGCCCTGCGAAGAAACATTTAGATGTCATGAACGAAAAGCGGAAGAACAGGACGCACTCTTCGTCCAGCTCGGCCATGGCGTCAGACACATACGACGCGGTGACAAGGTGCTTGCCCATCTTGAGACAGAGTTTCGCAACTTTGGGATGCATCACAGCGGGAAGCAGGCTAACAATACACAGACATCAGGCCTTGAAGAGCTGGGAGGAGTAGCCACATACCTAATCACCACATCCGTCTCGGCGACCAGATGCTTGTACGTCGCCTGCTTCTCAAAATCGATCATTCGATACTGCACATGCTTGTACGGCACCGAGAGCTGCTGGAGTTCCGCAAGACAATTGCTGCCTGTACCAGATGCTGTCAACACCACCTCAAAAATCAATCGAAAAGGTCGCAGAGCATACCGATAACGAGCTCAACATCCTTCCTCTGCGCAAGGTAGTCCACGGCGGGTCCAGCTACCATCCCACTGCCAAGCATCAAGATCTTCTTCTTGCCCAGCGACGCAGCCGAACCCGTATCGGTGGCGGGACTGGAACTGGCGACCGACGGCTCGATGTCATTCAGAGCCTTGCTCAACTTCTCCATGTAATCGTCAGACTCGCTCGCCGCCTCTCGGGCCGCCTTCTTCGCTACCGCCTCTTCAATCTCGTTAGCCACCACCGCCTCCTTCTTTGACACGTTCCTCCGCTGTGACTCCTGCGGTTCCGCCAACATCGCCCAAAGCTCCTCGCCAACACCATCAGACGGCTTAGGCACCAAGTCAGGGTCCACACGAAACGTGCGCTCCTCGAGCACCTTGTCCACCGACTGCTGCAGCCACGTATGCTGACCTACAAGCTCGCCGCCCGAGGCAATGATCGCGCGGCTCAAAGCCGACTTATACGGATCCTCCCTCCCCTTCTTCCCATTGCCATTCTCCCGAACCTCTGAATCCGGATGCGCGAACTGCGCGATAGCCTTCGCGTACCCCTCGCGTCCCTGCTCCTCCCACACTGCCTTCTCCTCTCGCATGCGTTCGATCAAGGAGAGGATGTACGGCCGGAGGACCTGCGAGAAATGATACGAGGCGTCTCTGGGTATCGCCGCAGGCAGAATATCGACCGCCATCATCGTCACAACCGGCGGCTCCACATGCGGGGAGAACAAGAATGGGGTGGGGTTGCTGTCCGTCGGTGTTGGCCGAATTTCATACGAGGGAGAGGAGAGCGTTGTCGTTGCCGTGAGGAACTCAAGCCCGCCCTCGATGTCGCAGCTGATGTCGGCGATGTTGGTGAAGCGCTTTTGATGGTGCGGCGAGATGCGAGCGGCTTTCTCGAGTGCAAAGATAAGCTCGCTGTTCGTCATTAGGCGGGGGAAAGAGGACGACCAGCCAGCGCCATGGAACAACAGGGTCAGGTAGGGGGCGATCTGGGGTTCACGTAAATGTTTAAGCAGAAAGCATATACGTTGGCGGGCGCACCTTGTGATAGAATACCGACTCGTACATATCCGGGTTCAAGTAGTAATCCGCTCTATCATAACTTCTTCCATCCGTCCGTCTGAAATAGTCTTCCGGTTGGGCATGGCAAACGTAAATCTACAACACATTAGGTATTGGTTCGCACTAGGAGGATAGTCGAATGTACCTTTGTGAGGTCCGAGTGCGAGGCTAATTTCAACCTTCAGCAAGGAATAGGATGGAGGAAAGAGGGAACCCACGTTTGTTCCTGACGAGAGATTCCAGCTGAGACGGTTTCACGAATTGAATCGGCAGTTCCTGCAACATCGAGAGGCATCCTTTCGCGACTTGGCCATTCCTGATTGTAGAAAGAGCATATAAGATACGTCAAACACGTCAATGAAGGCCGAACGCACCCAGTTACACCAACAATAACAGGACCCAAACTTGGAGGCGTCCCGTTCTTCTCAATCATCTTTCCAACGCTCCTGAACGCACTCCTAAGATGTTCCAACGTTGGTAGCGTATGCGGCCGTGGGGTATACAGAAACGGAGACGCAATTCCTGCCTTTAAATGCGCGTGTGCCATCGAGGAAAAGCCCTCCAGCACCCCTGCCAGACCCGCATATATTCCAAACCCGACCGTCCTCTTCCCAGTATCCTCCTTCGTAATGAGCTCATAGTCGATCAGCCGGGGGTAGGGATTGAACTCCCTCGGAACCCTCTCGTGTGTCTGAGCCGCGAAGCGAGAAAGGAGCTTGGTGTTGTATGGCTGGCCTTTGTGTGTATGCGAGAACATGAGGAAGGTTTGCGGCTCGTGGCCTGCCTCTTGCCGCCCCCGCTCGAGATTGACAACCTCGCGAAGGGGCGGCTCCTTGATACCCACGATGAGATCGACATCGGGCGAGAGCCGGCTAACGATCCGTGCACCAGCTTGCTTGTACTCGTAGTCCGAAAAGACGCGTCGGGCGCATGCAACGACTTCGACAGCTGCTTTCTCTTTCGACACTATCTCATGCACGTCATCTGGAGTGATGGGGGCCCGTCGCTCCCATATCCTTCCGGGATCTTCGCGACTACGAGGCGGTCGGAGAAGGGTAAGGGTCAATTGAAGCAAAAGAACCCGGCGACGTATAACGCACCGGATGCCTATCACCAGGGGGCGACCAAGTCTACTCAGCTTCAGTGAGGCCATGGTAGGCCCTCTTCTGAGAGACGACATGAAAGCTGTGGTTTATGTATGGACGAGAGGATTCTGAGATCCGAGCCGAGGGGGAGCAGAGGGATTAGCTAGTCGGGACAGATGATCCTGGTGACACACACCTTGGTTCGTCGTCTTCACGCGCCACGGGGTTCAAATAGGCTTGAGAAGTGTCGTAAATGCAAGGACTGGGGTAGGAGCCGCGAATGGGGAAGAAACACACGGGGATATGACGCGGGCGAGGAGGCTTAAAGGGCGGGTACAAGAGTGATGAAATGTTTCAAAGCCTGCAACGAGAAGAGTAAGTTGCCATCCTCTTCATTTACGAAAAGGTGAACGAGAACCCACCTCTCAGAACCGTGTCGAAGAGAGGGAGAGATGACAGGAAGATGGAGTGGGAGGTGGCCATCGTTCTTGCTGGGCGACGGAATGGACATCCGGGTCGATGTTGGCAGCCACGTGGTTTCAGGGGTCTCACCTAAAAAAGGAAACAGACTATACAATTCCTTGCCTCCTCCCGAGGGAAACGCTGAAATACAACATGTACAACCATGGGGTTCTAAAGAACCTGATTAATATAGTATCTGGGGATCTTTATAGATAAATTTCAGGTCTTTTGACTCACTTAGACGACCTCGAGAAGATTGACCTGGGATTGAGGGTCGGAGCAAGCTTATCCACCCACATGGGAGTGTGCAAACTTTCAAAATGGGGTTCGATTGTTCAACGTTGACATTATACAAATTAAAATTAAATATCGTTCTCCGGTCCGTCCTGACTGTACATACGTAGAGAGCGCTGCTTCTGTTGCCTTCCGACCTTCCAACTCGCGAGTCATCACGTTTCCTCTTCTTCCAGTTGTCGTTCTTTGAGCCGTAAATATGTCGCAATTCCTCCTACTACTTTGGCGTTAAGCATTAGCATCAACGTACCCAGGTTCTCGTCCGCGACGCGGTCCTCAGAAATGATTCCGTCCAGAGAGCTGACTTGATGATCTTTGTCTGAGCCTTCTACAAATAAAAATAAAGAATGTCATCGTAGGCGCTGCCGTCCTTTTGTCCTTTTTTTATCGTCGTCATATCCCTTGTCGGTCTCGATGGCGAGGGTGCCGACTCACTGTCGTCTCCAAATCCCGCCGCCGCTTCTCTGTTCGTCGTCTTTGTCGGCGCTGCCATCCATAATATTCTCGTGACCTGTCTTGCATAAAGGGTCGACTTCGGCGACAGACATTTTCTTTAAGCCTCTGGCGGTGACCTCCCCCCTCTACCTCGGGCACGCTCATAGTTTGTATCTTCTCCTGACTACTTGAAAATGACGAGATAAAATCAGGCAAAATTGCATACTTTTCAAATTTCATTTACTTCCAGAACAAATACACGGAGCTGGTAGTGGAGGAGCCTTCCTAGGCCTTCCTTACGGCAATCTGCTTTTTGGACATCGCAAGTCCTAGGCAATAGAGAGCTGGTCTAGGTCGGTCCGAACTCCCTTCATCACGTGGACACAGAACGTCGAAGGTTTTCGTCTCACATCATCTCACTCCTTTCTACAACTATGTTTCAGTAAGTTCGAGCAAATCCTCAATGATTTTAATATCGACGGCCTCTTTTCACATCGTTTTAACCCTCGTTCTTGCCCAGAAACTCAAGTGAGGACAACAACCGCCCCATCGACCTCATCAGGATCGGGAGCGGCACCTTCGGTATTGTCTACATGAATACGGCAGTGCGTGTTAAACGCCACCAAGGATCCGACTCCTCTTCCTATTTAAAATGCATCACAGACTCCCGAAGTATACAAGAAATGTCGCTCTGCTCACAACTGCACGATATTAGCAGAAGAATATCGCCATACGAAGCTCATCAGCGACGCCCTTCGAGCATCTGGCAACACGATCCTGTCTCCCACTCCCATCGAATTCTATAGCCACGACGACGCTACATTCTGGGACGACCCCACCTTCGTTTTTCCATCAGGAGATGCGCCTTCTCCATGACTCGCGTCTACCCCTTGCCGTCAGCTTTGAAAGCAAAGCTCATTGATCTCTTCTGTCAAAACCACCTGCGCGAGAATGCTCCTGCGCTCGTTCGACAAGGACACCACCTAGCTCGTCTCCTTCTCGGACGTCCCGAACCTAACCCCAACCGCGGAGCCCCTCAGAGATTCTTTAACACGTACAACTTCCCCTTGACCCGTGGACGTGCAGAACAGCTGGGGATCGACACTGTGCTACTCTCAGCAGAAATGGGACGCATGCTCAGCTCCACATGACTGCCAGGAACGACGCGCGCGACATTGAGGTTGTGCTGGGTGCAAATATCACAGACGCTGTTCCTAGCCGTCCGGGAGGGCGCCGAGAGCTCCGTGCTTGGGTCATCGATTTCAACCAGGTCAAGGAGTTCAATTTCACGGAAGGTCAGATCCCGTTGCTCGTTGACGCCTTTTATGCGAACGAGGCGTATTTTCCTCGTGCAAGGCTCGCCGATTCGCTATACGATGTCTTTTCCAAGGCTTACCTCGAGGAGTGCAACAAGATTGGAGAGGTCGCAGGGCAGCTTGGCCACAAGTTCATTATAGAACTGGAGGCAGAGCAAGCTCTCAAAGATGCAGAGAAAATGATGCCAGAATGTGATTGACGGAATGTACTAGTGCGAATAATTCGGGAGGTGCGCTCTGCCTGTGAAACTATCTCGTTGAGAGCAATTTTGAGGCGGTTGAAACGCCGTTGGGATTGAGACCAGCGTCTGTGCCCCATCGTTATCCATCGCGATGGATGACGACTGGATCCGGTCCGTGTTACGCCACCAATGTGCTGTGGGCGTCAAGTGCCCATGTCATGAGAATCCATCAACAGGCAGTACATCAACAAGTCATATCACCCTTGACTCACGCCACGCGGGCGCTCGTAGGGATTTAAAGCTCTCTTCCTTGTCCTCCAGGTCTTGCCCTTCTTTTCCCAGTATAACAATGACCTCCCTCGCTCAAGCTCAAGGCGCAACGCCTTGTGAAGAAACACTCGAAATGCAAGCAATCATCACACAGACTGCCCACCTGGGCATATCGTCCACCCACGATGCCCATCTCCGGCGTCCGTCGCGAGTACCACTTGGAACTTGACCGCCTTCACGTTCGGACGCTGTGTCAGAACCGCCCCGATCCATCCGCGGGGCATATGAGAAGAACCTATATCAGAGACCATGCCTCCACGGGCAAACCACAGCGACTTGCGCCGTCACAAAGGGCATTATTACTGAAGGGGTCCAGCCTTATCACCCTCGCAGACTTCGTCGAGAAGGAGCCGAGTATCCGATGAACTTGGATCGCCCTCGGAAACGTGTTCGATTCCATCCCTTTCTGCCAGTCCGACATCTTGGCTCAGGTTTGAGACGGTATCCCTCCAGTGATTTTGGCGTTTGGGGTGATGCTGCCTCGAATGGCCATATTTGGAGAGGGAGACAGCAAGCCCCAGTGGCCATGGGCAGAGTACTGCGGGCGTCATTCTCAGATTCGGCGCTCTTGCAGTACCACCAAGAGCGAGATACGAGTCATAAATAGTCGGCCGTAGTCGACATGAGCATCATTCTGTATAAAATGGACGCTTCTTAGCCTCCGAGTCACTACATTGATTATCATTGAGCATTCAAGCTTTGTTTTGTAATTTCAAGTCGTACACACATTATTCACACCAAGTCCTCTGCTTTGGGATTGAGACTTGCGACAGAAGGCCCCGAGTAACGATCGTACTTCGGCAATGGGTCGCTAGCGTTTACCCATCCCATAGTATTACTTCAGAATGTACTCCATAACACCATGTCCTCGATGAAACCATCGCCCTCAGGGTCTTCGAGCGGCCACGAGCCAAAGCTCTCTCCATACCGCCCGAAGTCTCTTCCCCCATTCGCGAAATAATCCGACGGAAGCTGGAGTGTGCTCAGCATCTGCCTGTACGTCCACCCGAACGTTTGCGGGTGATGCTGCTCATACCGCCCTAGGACATCCTTCTGCAGCCCGTCGAAGTGCCGCGCAAGCTGCTCGAGCAACTCGCGGTCCTTCTGTGTCCGCAGTCGGCGTTGGCCCGGGCGTTCCTGCCATAGTCGGTTCAGGAAGAGTGTGGCGCAGCAGAAGAGGAAGTCGGAGTGAGGCGCGGAAAGGTCGACTTGGGTCCAGTTGTACAACTCGGAAGGACGGTTTCGATAAGGTCGAGAGTAGAGGAGAGTGTTGCGATACAGGCTTGGTTGTCCGACGTTCTGTCAGCGGTGTGCCATGTTAAGGAGGCCAGAGAGATGCAGAAAATCTCTGAATTGGAAACTACGGCGCCAGACTACGGCGATCACTATGGCGGCAACTCCCGCCGAACGGTAACATGGCCCGTTAGAGGCTCAGCCGGACTCCCATAGCGTAGTCCTAAGACGCCCATACCACCCCAGAAATAATAAGAAGGACATATTGGAGCTACAATCAATCGAGGAGAGTATAGTTTTGACAAAGCACCGGAAAATCCACTCGTCTCATCCCCGTTTGTCTCAGCTTGGCAGCATAATTCCCGGCGCCATATCTACGACGAAAAAGTAAGGTTCTCCCTCCTCTGAGTGAAACACTTGGTAAACTGACCCTATAGTCATGCTACTCATCCGCCCACAACGTCGTTGTCCGCGGAGATAGAAAGGAGACCTTGAGGCGAGGTCTAATGCCGGAGGTGAGTCTTCCACCTATACACGAGAATGCCGCTGACAGACCTTATTCTGGTCGCGCTGTGCATGCCGGGGTTGTACTGTAAGAGTCCTGGTACGTAGAGACTCGAGATTAGGCGTTTGGGGTGAGTGGGAGGGTGGGAGGCACTAGAAGGTAAATCTTCGTTTATGCCTTCGGTGACCCTGTATTCACCTCATCCCAGCCATTCCCTTCTCGCTCAGATGTCTAGGCACTCTACACCATCGCTCTCATGGTCCAACACATTGTACGCATCCTAGAAACAAGGTAAGACCATCGCGAACGTGCATGACAACGAGAAACTCACCTTTATGCGGACGTTCTCCGCCCATCTTCGTGTTGGCCCACCATCTTCCACACCGATCTCGGTCCAACGTCCTCCAGTACCATCGATGCTCTCGCTAGCCTCGCTGTCGTCGAAATGCCCTATCGAGCACCTAAGAACACAGTAAGTTCGTGTTAATCGTTGATGGTGAGGTGAGGCACTCACGACGGGTTGGGTGTGATTATGTCCAGCATCTCGGGGATAGAACGTGTGTTGGCCCTCGTCGTGAGCTTCTTGTCCATCGTCGCCGCCGCTGGGTGTGGTAGGGGTGTCTTGGTCGAGGGCACTGAGGAAGCGCAGTGAGAGTGCGAGTCATCGCCCACCTCCGCCATCGATGTGTTCGATCTCGATCTTCATCATACAAGTTGTCCTATCGATCCTGCGTTGTTTTTTCAGTTCTTCGCCTCCGTTTATATTTTGTAGGTCGAGTAGGGCCCCTTGTGTTCGAGCAGGACACCTCGCGAATCCAATGGGGGCCAGTTGCCTGTCTTTGTGAGAGGCTTGAGCGACAACGCGCGATGGCACTTTTATCAGGCGAGAATCTTGATGTCTGCTTTGTACATTTCCGTGTTGAATAGGGTATATACAATGGAGGAAGGCGTAGAATACGGAGGTGGGACGAACTTGCCTGTCATTGCCGGCAGATGCCGCCGTAGTGATCGCCGTAGTTTCCAATTCACGAATGCACTCGAGAGATGAAGTCGTCGAGATCGGAATGAGTGTGGAATGTGTTAGCGACTTCGTCGGGGGTTGAAGTTGTGCTGCTTTTTCCATGAAGGACTTGAAGAGGGTGAAGAACTGCTGGAGGAAAGCTAGAAAACAAAGATCAATGTCTTGATGGGCTGGTGCTTCGTAGACAACGAATGAAGCGTACCATCTTGGGTTTCAGGGAATGGGTTGAGGGATCCCATGTTGATCGTATACCAATGGAAGAATCCGGTGGGCGTATTCAAGGCATTGTTGACGAGTTTTTTTGGCTCTTCTGCATAAGGATATACCAGTATCCGTGTAGGCAGTTCCAGCATGTGTCGTCCGAGGGCGTGAGCGGGGTTAATCGCCTCGTAGAAGATCATTGCCGGGTATGCGGAGGAAGAGTACGGTGTGGATGTCGTGAAGCAGGTTTGGAGAGGGATTCTCTAAGAGTGATGCGATATTGGCGATAGGTGAGTTCCATGCTGGTACTAGATCGCGGAAACACGCTTGGAGGTGATAATGAGGATATTCGTCCTCTTCGGCAACCATCGACTGCAAGAGGTCTTGGAAGCAGTGATAAACAGAGAAAATGACATCTTTGTTATGTTCGTTGCCCTGCGCAGCACTTGCTAGGCTACGAACGGCGTTGTAAATAGGTTCAGTGTTCAAATTTGGAGAAGACAGGTTGGTACTTGAGCATTTTCGAGTGATGTCGAAATGCTCATTGCGGAGGATGAGCCATGTTCGATCGAAGTCTAGCCATGTGTGGTGGGCCCAGAAGAGATACGCCCAGTCGGAGAACAGTCGGTACCTTCATACAGCGTTTTTGAGCGGGCGCTGAGCGAATAGAAATGATTCAGGGACAAATTTAATGGACAATAAGGCGCTGTGGATTACGTTGAATAATCTCCTTGACATGGTCAGCAATCGACGGAAAGCGAGAGATTGAGGAGACTTGTAGGGGCAAGGAGATGGGACCGCCGAGTCCGAGGAGGGTATTCGAAGGGAGATTGCAAAACGTTGCAAGGTGGGGAGGACGGTGGTAATAATTCCTGGGGTAACCACATTCCCTACCACAACAGAAATGAGGCGCTAAAGCGAGAGAATGAAATCGATAATCCCCGCAAAGAACAGCACAAGGGCAACCTGAAGAAGCAGTGGAAGGGCGGCGAATATCTTTTGAACATGCCAATCCTCTGACGCCGCCGCACGCATGTGGAAGATGGCCAGTGACTTACGTGGTGTCAACGACTCGCCATACCGTTGGTGCTCTCTCAGCCATTGCAGAGAAACAATGCCGATCAGGACCGTGGTCCAGCTGAGTACGAGGCTGAGAAACCAAAATACGTTGACGCGTACTGTGGACGGCGAAGGCGTTTGGGGGAGGGAGAAGGTTTGGAGAACCTGGGAAATGGTTGGTGATATCGGTGTTGTGGTGCTCGAATTTCTCTCTAGTTGTTCAGAAATGAGGGTAAGAAGGACGATGGAGGCGTCCGAAGAGTCGGGAAGCAGAAATTTGCACGATTCCACAACAAATGCTGTGACAACAGCAGAGAAGAGACCAGCCTATCTATGTCGTCGTAAGCAAGTTCCCAGTACACAGATGATGAGGCTACGCACAAAGATAAGGAGGTTTTGGACTTCGCCTTTCCACGCATCACACTGTTCCTTGTTCTTCTTGAGCAAGCCTTCGAGCACGACCTCCTACGGATTAGCATCGGCTTTGGGAATGGGATGGTGGTATGGGTCGCCACATCTCCAAAGCTTGGGATACTGCAAATACAAAGATGGATTTAGTGTGTTACAGCGAGGAAAACTTTGCAGCTTACAGTTTGTTCTTCTCCGTCGCCTCTTCGCTCATGACTCATGATGCAGTTGGTTGAATAGGTGCGGCGTGGCCGTGGTGGAGCTGACGGGTGCCCCGGGCCGTTTCGCCATTTTTTCTAAGTAACCACCACCAACCCGGTCAGCCTTACTGTTGACTGATCTCCTCCATCCATTTTTTTTGGTACCCGCAACAGGTCCTCCATGCATTGTCACATACTCTGGCGCTCACACAATCAAGACACTCTTACCGCCCCACCTCGCCAGCCTTGCTGATCCAAACTCCGCATGTGTTGGCCAAGGACGTCTGGACATGTGTCCCCGTCTCCCGGCAAGCTCACTTCGACGATCGCCTCTTTCGTCTTGTGTCCTTTCAGGTCAGCCATCCTGTCTTCCTCATATTTGATCGCCGTGAGTTCTCGAGTCAGAATTTTACTTGTGCGTCTAACTCTCTATGTCGTTCACCACCTGAGCGTGAGCTTGCCATCGGCTTCTCCTCTAGATAACAAAGGAAACGTACCCTTGAGTGACACAGCTTCCTCCTGAAGCTTCGGTGTGGCAATATTCAACCTCAAAAGGTCCGGAAAAAAGGATTGTTATGTGGATTCCACGCTGTAAGGTCCGTTTTCAATGAATCGATGGCTCCATCTCTCTTATCCTCGTCGCTAGCAAATCACCCGTGAAGGATGAATACAAGCACGGACTACTTACTCCGTCCTTCTGGTGGAATTCCAGTCGACCTTCTGGCGCATATATTCACGTTGTTGCCCGAGTTCGTGCCTGAGCGGCACATTCTTTTTAACAACAAGCTGGCCGACAGGATTCGACGCAGCTAGAGTTTTTGTCTGCCATGTGCATCCCAATTAGTCCTCAGTGACATTCTTGACCTTGGCGGTGCTCTCAAGCTCTCAAGTTGATTTCCTCAGGCAGGAGCACATGCGTTGGGTTATACCATCTGTGCGCCTTCTCAAACCCATCGTCCCCTCGCACGTTAGGTTGAAGACAGAAGGTATAGAGGGTTTTCTCTCACTTGGCGCATGTAAATTCTCCTGACCCATATTCGAGGCGATCCCACGACCGAGGATGTTGGCGCACCAGCGTCTGTACAACTTCGTGGGCCAAGATTCGCGAACTTCTTTCAGGTATGTAAGTATCCTTCCCTCTCTCACCATCACCGGTGACAACCTTCTTTCCTTCCTCCATTCATTAGACGCCTCAGTTAGCCTCGCCTGCTCCGCCTGACTGGCTTCATCCATTGGTGCCTCATCACGATCTCGGATTTGGCGGGCGAACAACACTCAGCGGCGTCAGCGCATCAAGAGAAGGCGTAGAGGTTGGAATGGACGTCGATTTGTGATTCTGTTTGCTCACTGCTGCGGAGCCATACTTGGGAGCAATGGTAGAATGACTTCTGCACTCTGATCATCTGCCTGTTGCGGCCCAAGCTTTATACTACGAGTGAGTCTGAAAGAGCTCTTATTTGATGTTTGGAGCTAAGTAGGCTTTGGGAACCTCTGCTGATCATGTTCTTGCCCATTGAGCCATATTTGTCCTGGCCCCGGCCTCCGTCCCTGCCCTCAAACATTAAATGTGAAATCAAGTTATTGCCCTCACCTTTTTACATCCTGTCATAACATCTAAATCCCTAGATTCTATGGATGGTCGGATACAATTGGGCAAAGGTATTGGTTTTACGTACCATCTCATTGGCAGCCCGTGGCTATATCTTGAGCTACCTTTCCTCATACTCTTTACGCCCACAATTGTTGCATTCTCCCCCAGTTATTGCGTTGTGGATGGCCGAGAACGAAGAATCGCCTTTAGCAAAAGAACGCATTGTGGGGAGTGATTCCTCTAGTTTTCCCCCCCATGTCTCCGGTGCAGCATCCCGCCCGGACGCCAATGTGATGCCATGTGGGCACAAGATGAACGGGCGGAATTTGATCGTCTGCATTGACAGCACTGCTAACCAGTTCGGTGACATGGTGCGCCTTTGTCGATGTCTTCCCTCCTTCCTAATACTTCTTTTGTGAAAGAACACAAATGTGATCGAGCTCTACAACCTGATCCTGAAAGGGAGTAAAGAAAGGCAGCTGACCTGGTACAACAGCGGTATTGGGACATATGCACGGCCGTCGTGGAGATCGCCGAATTACTACAAACAGGTTCTGTATCACAAGATTGATTTGGTGATTGCAAGGTAAGTTGATTATTAATTGAACGATCCATTTCTTTGTCTCTAATTCTATTTTGTCTCTTTTGTCTAGCACTTTCGACAGCACCGTGAAGGGCTCCTATGGTTGGATTTCTGACCGTTATGAAGATGGCGATTGTATCTTCCTTTTCGGTGATCTTTGGTCTAATTAACACCCGGTCTGATTTTTTTCTGATGGCTCAAGGATCTAGGTTTCTCTCGTGGGGCATACCAAGTTCGTGTGCTCTCTGCCATGATCGAGAAGGTGTGTAGCCCTCCTACGCGTGCGCAATGTACAAAACTGAAGTTCAAATATAGGTCGGATTAATCTACAAAGGCAACGAGATGCAGATTCCCATGTAAGCTTTGATGATTCCCAGACCTTTCCCTCCTAATTGGGCGTATTCAGTGCATATGAACTCTACATGGACCAGAAGACCGGCGCTGCGGAAGTAACACACGTTGGGTCTGAAGTAAAGATGACCAAGGCGCAGCGATTCAAAAGCGCCTTTTCGCACCCGGACGTCAAAGTCCACTTCGTCGGGGCCTGGTAAGTGTTAACTTTTCTGAGATTAGCACTTCCCTGATGAACAATTAGGGACACCGTCTCATCAATTGGGATTGCCCGTGGCAATAAGATGCCGCTGCTAACCGTCGATGGAATGGGGCACGTCTGCTATTTCCGACATGCACTCGCGCTCGACGAGCGGCGGGTCAAATTTCTCCCTGAGTACACTTGGGGAGGATCCACCAAGCCGCAGCCTAATGCAAACAAGGGGAAGGATACCGGGTTGACCTTGAAGGCTGGAGAGCCACTTGTCGAGCAGGGCGCCGACTCCACTGGCGCTAGCAGGCAAGCAGCGAAATTTGGACAGACGGTACCATCAGCAAATCCTGATTTTGAGGGTCAAAATGACCTCGATTTCAGCGTTATAGTGTGCTATGGCGCGTTACGTAGCGCTACGTAACGCGCTATAGCGCTGTAATGCATCTTCTTGTCTATCGGGATGCTTCCCAATTTACAGAGTGCTACGTACCTTCGTATAGCACCCATAACGCAATCAGGAATTGCCGATGACAGTTTTCGAATACACTGGAGGTCTGGTTCGCAGGGACGTATTCGGACATGTGAGTTCAGTTCTGTGCATTGCAGATTTGCTGAGAGACTATCATAATTCAGAGGAGGCGGAAATGTAGAAAATGCCGGAATGGATCGAAGCAGGCCACCTCTCAGATGGATGGTGTTTGAAGCGGGGGCTGCGGTAGCTCAGGTGGCACTATTGCGGACTTACCCCCAGGCTTGCATTGAGCTCTCGAGTTCAATTCTCGCTGGTTGCATGGATAAACACACTTTAGACACCATGTGACTTTTCCACGCCCCCGGATGACACCGTCTGGGCCTCTGTATTAGGGAGCGACTACGTCTCGTGTGTTCTAGACCCAAGGGTCTGGAGTGACCGTACCTATGCATGCTCACATAATGATATCAGGGTCACCTGGTTCTCCTTAGTCATTGAAAAAATGACTATGCCAGGAAGGGAAATAGGGAGCCAAGGGACAAGGTTGTGCGGATCTGCCGCTATGTGGCGAGACGGCTAGAGCCGACCCTTCGGGACAAGGTTCACATGATCTGCTGGAGCCTGCTGGGCGTTTTGGTGCGCTGACTTCCCAGAGTACGTAAAGCAAACCAGCGAGACGGCTAGAGCCGACCCCGAGGCATTAATACCAAAGTACTGGAGGGTGGGAGTGAAACTACACGAAACAGCTAAAGTCGTCTCCTAACACGGACCGCCAAAGAACCGCGTGGCACGTGAATGATGGAACAAACCCAAACCCATAGGGAGGTTGTGTTGGATGCCGGTCACATGAACGGCTGCTTTTGGGAGCTAGGGCGTTACTATGTGCGAATATACGCAATCTTATGCTTAGGTATATCGAAGCCCTGATTAGTGTAAATAGTTACGGGATGTCATGATAATTGGTATGATCATGGACACTTAGGGTATTACTTAGGTCACGCCGCTGATAGCCCGAGGATTGGATGTTCCCTTACGGTCATGTATGGAATGATCCTCGTAAATCAATAAAGAACCACATTCATCTTCATCATGGTGTTTGAAGTGGGAGCGGTTGACCTTCGCATGGCGCCCTTTAAACGAGAGCTTGCCTCGCACGAGCAGATTAGCATTGTTGAATCGCTCACGCCCGCCTGGTGGTTTCTCGAACTTCTTCCATTCCGGAGATTGACGTTTACATGGGATGGTAGAAAGAAAACAACGCGGAAGTAGGTGTTCACCATTAGTTGGTAATTGATTCTCATCGGGTTGTCCATGCAGGCCACATCTCGGTTCGAGTCGCAAAATTCATGAGGGTCAGAAAATCCATAGCTCTCTCCTTCTGGCTGAGAGTGATTCAGGATATGGGGAGAACAACTCACAATCGGACAAAGAAGCCTCTTCACCCGGGGCGAAGCCACGCAGGAAGTACACGCCACAAGCTCGCCTGCCTCCTTTCAGCGGAGTGGACTCATTCTGGGAGACTCTACGACGAGAAGGGCTCACTGGAGCTACCTCCTGCAAGTGGCTGGAGCTCGACCTATACGAGTCCACTACCTCTATTGTGGAACAACTCGTGAATCGTGATGCTGTTGATGCAATGTTGGGACGCATGCGTGATATCGCAATTTCCGGTCAGCCCTGCCGTTCTTACAATACAATCTTCTTGAACTAACCACTGAGGGCAGCTGAGGGACGCAAGGCACTCTACACTCCTGTGGTCAAGGTCATATGCAAGCCAGAAAGTGTTGAAGTTGATCTTCTGTACATTCAAGTTCCTGCGGTTCGCAGTGAGCTTTCTGAGCCGGGTTTTCGAGGATGATGAATCGGTGAAACGACTCCGCTTAAATGAGATCGGCCACTTGTCTCACCTTCTTTGGGAATGCGACTCGAAAGACGTCGAGAAGTGCAACACCGTCCGAGACTTTGTCATGAAGTTTACAAGCCGTCAGTCTGATGTATCTTTGTCCGTCCGTTACTTAGTTTCAATTCGCAGCGTACCTTCATGTGTTGGGAAAGCATCGCAAAACAGTTTCCTTCGTCGCATTCTCGCCTGACGGCAAGCGGATGGCCTCGGGCTCTTGGGACCACACGATTTGCATCTGGGATGCGGAGTCATGGACGATCCTGCAAGGACCACTTGAGGGACATACAGATTTTGTCCGTTCTGTCGCATTCTCGCCAGAATGCAGAGACTGGGAAGGTGGTGGCGGGTCCACTCAAAGGACACGCAGACGTGGTCTTGTCTGTAGCATTCTCGCCTGATGGGAGCTATGTCGTCTCGGGCTCCGCCGACGAGACAGTTAGGATCTGGGGGGCGGAGACTGGGATGCCCGTCGGTGACCCGCTTGGAGGACACACAAATTGGGTCATATCCGTAGCATTTTTGCCTGATAGCAAGCGCATCGTTTCTGGCTCGGAAGACCGGTCGATTCGGACATGGGATGCGGAGACTGGGAATGCAATTATTATTCAGTGGGTGAATCACGCAAAGGACGCAATTGTACGGTCTTCTCTATTGCATTCTCCCCTGATGGTAGCCGAATCGTCTCGGGCTCGGACAACGAGACGATTTGGATCTTGGAAGTGAGGACGGGAGGCACGGCGGGTCTGGTCTGTCGCGTTTTCTCCTGATGGACAGTACGTCGCATCCGGCTCTTACGACGAGACGATTCGTCTCTGGGATGCGAAGACAGGGAAACAGATTGGAGAGTCGTTACGAGGACATACATCGGATGTCTACTCTGTCGCGTTCTCGCCTGACGGCAAGCGCCTTGCATCGGGGTCTCGGGATTCTACAGTTCGGATATGGGACGTGGAAACGTGGGTCAAGGTGGCGTGTCTTTCATAAAAGGTGCCGATATGACTATAATACCTCGAATTTGAACCAGGATAGTTATCTTCTTTTCTTTACTCCGCTCTTGGTATGCTACCTACATCTATCTCGTACAATAGTATTATGTGTCATCTCACCTGGTAGATAGTTACACGACTGACGAGCTTTCTTCCAAGCTCAACACTAGATGCGGAGTTGTCAAGTGTGCTGCCTCCCAGCGAAGCTGTTTTTTTCACGCGTACGATGACATGGAGTGTGTTGTAACCAGTGGCTTCTCCTGATCAGAAGGCTGAAAGGGTAGAGACCAAAAACAAGAGGGACTCTGTATTAACTCGCGATGTTGAAGCCAGGTGCAGGGGAGACACTCGATACCAGATGTCGGCATAATATGGCGCAACTTCTGAATGAACAGTGTCGTTTAAAATGTCTACACCGGTGATGAAACTTGGGTGAAACTTACCATGCTTGCCTTCCGTCTTATAAGCAAGAAGTAGGGGTTCGAATCGTGTCCTGCTTTGTTCTTCCAATACGTTTTGCTTTTGCCTTTAATAAACACCGTATATTCAAAGATTCACCGATGTCACTGTTCTTTTCCATACCTTCTTACGACCATGAAGACCAAGCAGGGCATAAGAGTGCTATGGAACCGTAACCCTCCGCTCTAGAACAGTGTGGGAGAGGCGTATTTGTCAGCACGTGGAACAGTTATAGACCTGGGAGTCGATGAGCAGCAAGGTTATCTTCCACCCGTGTACAATTGAATGGTTCCACTTCCCATCGCTGCCCGCCGCAATCATTCCTCGCGTCTCCTCTACATTCTCCTCTCGCTAGCATCACAATATGTTCCACGCATCCTTCACAGAAACAAAGGCACGCCTGGCGATGGCCTCGCGAAGACTTTCGTCCTTGCGAAGAGGGCCAGCGAATTCGACCCACACCAGTCGAAATACATTGTCTTCGCAGTGCTCATCCCCGTGCTTGTCCTTATGTCGGGTCTGTTTGCCGGTCTGACCCTGGGCTACATGAGTCTCGACGAGACTCAGCTCAACGTGCTCAGCATTAGCGGAACTCCGTGCGTCGCCCCCTTCTTTCTATCAAAACGAGCGCATATACTCACCCTCGGCATCGAATCCTCAGAGAACAGCGCAAGCACGCACTCAAGATCATGCCTATCCGCAGGAATGGACACTTGCTACTCGTCACGCTGCTCCTGGCCAACATGATCGTCAACGAGTCGCTGCCAGTTATCGCAGACCAAGTAATGGGAGGTGCTGAGAGCGTCGTGGTGTCTACGGTGCTTGTCGTTATGTGAGTCTAGTTTTCCTCCTCTCGTTAGCGATGGTGCGCTCGGACCATGGCATGAGGGGGGCATATCCGCGGGAAAAGGAGATGACGTTGCGATACGGCCGTGTGTTCTATTTTAAATACGGTAGAGGGCGGGCTGGTTACCCGCCCTGCCTCCCGCCCGCGCTGTAGAAAGGTCTTGAAATGACGTCACGCGAATGTGGTCGATCGCGCCTGGCTTGGCCCACCCCGCCAAGGTTTCGCGTCTCGCCAAGAGCATGTCTTTTCCTTCTTTGCTCGCCTCCGATAACATCGATATTGATGTGCTCCCAACCCTAGCTTCGCAGAGATCATTCCACAGTCGCTCTTCACTCGTCATGGCCTCTACCTCGGTGCCAAGATGGCGGGCTTCACCAGAGTCCTCATCTATATGATGGTGCGTCTCATGTTAGAGTTTATCGATGAGTTGGCTAACGGCATTCCAGGGTGTCATTGCATGGCCAGTAGCTAAGCTCCTGGAGCTTGTCTTGGGCCCGCACCACGGTATCATCTACCGGAGGGCTGAATTGAAAGAATTAATCGCTATGCATTCGTCTCATGCGACCCATGGCGGCGATCTCAAGATCGATACAGTCGCTATCATTGGTGCAACCCTTGATCTGCAGGAGAAAGTCGTCAGACAGGTAATGTTTGAGATTTTATCACCGATAGAAGCTTACGACCACGTCTATAGGCAATGACGCCTATCAGCGAAGTCTTCATGTTATCTATCGATTCAAAGCTTGACTACGCGTTGTTGAAGAAGATTTGTCGAACTGGGCATAGTCGCGTGCCGGTATACGAAGAAATTGATGTTCCCATATCCGTGGTTCCAAGAGACGAAGAAGAGTGGGTACAAGACGACAAGCCAAAGCAGCGGACTCAGAAAGTCAAGAAGATCATAGGGATTTTGTTGGTCAAGCAGTGTGTTTTACTTGATCCCAAAGGTTAGCCGACTCGATTAGACTATTTGGCCATAGTGCCCTCATATTTTTCAGATGCAACCCCTCTTCGCAAGATTCCGCTCAACAAAGTGCCATTCGTTCCGAATAACGAGCCTCTCCTTGGAATACTGGACAAATTCCAGGAAGGCCGAAGCCACATGGCCATCGTCAGTCGTTTCAGCGTCGAAAAGGTAAAGCACTACTTGCATCTTATGCCTCGCCTTCTCTAAATTTACACAACCCTAGGCTGCATCCGTCAAGCACGCCGTCAAGCGAGGACTGACCCAACGTCTTCGTGAACGTGTAGGCATGGCCGACACAGACTCCGACTCCGATTCCGCGGAAGACGAGAAGAACTTTGCCTTACGCAAGAAGCGAGGCCGGCGCAGTCTCATCAACCGCAAACGCGACCGTTCGTCTGGACCAGACGAAGCAACTTCTACCACAACAGTGGGCAGTCCGAAAGACCAAGGCGTTAAGATCACGGAGTACGATGTCGAGCGTGGCTCGAGTGTCGACTTGAGAGACAGGGAGAAGCTTCAAGGGGAGATGAAGAGTAAGGAGAAGGAAGAGGGAGGGATGAAGAGCAAGATCGCGACGCTGCAGTTGCCAAGGGTCGCTGCTGGAATGACGTCAATGCCGGCCTTGGAGCAGAGCATGCCTGCGGATGCGGTGTTGGCGAAGGAGGGCGCTGCTGAGGTGAGTGTCGTTGCTTTACATTTTGCTAGTGGCTTGAAGTATTGATTTATATCCTTCTTTCTAGTTTTTGCAAGGCTTCGACCCTGCTGTTATGCCGCTTGGTATTATCACCCTTGAAGACGTGCTCGAAGGTGAAAATTTTCAGCATTGAAACTGGTCGATGGTTCTTAAACGAATGAATATTTTCCTCAGAATTAATCGGCGAAGAGATCTACGACGAATTCGATACCCAAGGCGCGCATGGTGACCCATACGAAGTACCGCCTGTCGTTACTGCTACCCAGCCTCCATCTCGTTCAGCATCTGTGAGTCGTCCTCCATCGGCCCGTGGCGCCGCTCAGTCGAAGGCGTCGACGCCTACCCATACGCATATACCTACGGCGCTCAAAGGTCTGGGATTCTTCCGTACGAGGAGTGCACCTCCAGTGCAAAGAGAGAAACACGCCACGCCCGACGGATCTGGTGCAGAGATGAACCGGAAGGCGTTGACCGGTGGAGGCGACGCAAAGACGAACGCGAGCGGGAAGACTGTGCGCATGGATGAGCCCGGACCCGAGCACCACCACGACAATGATAACAGGAATGGAGGAGACGTGCCCCTCCTCCAGATGCCCCGCCCTATCAAGAGTACAGGCAATCGGCCATCGGTCATTCTGGAGCAGCATAGTAGCATCTCGTCCGAGAGCTCGGGCACTCTCGTCCTCACGGCCTCGCACTCGAAGGCTTCTGCTGCGAGTAGGATAGACGCAGAGGCTGCTGCTACTGCTCCGGTGAAAGAACGCCCCAGCCTCCTGTCCATGCCCGCCCCTTCCCTCCCTTTGGCGCTCGCGGTGGATGGGAGGAGCCGGACGATGCCCGGCACCGTTCTTGCTTCCACCACCGCCGACGCGTTGGCCCCGCCCAGCGTGAACGTGCAGGGCCAGAGCCTTTCCGCACCTGGGTTACCCGCGCCTATGGCCATCCCACCGTACATAGCCGCTGGTGCGAGTGCGAGTGCGACTGCTAGCGTAGGTGTGGGCGTGGCAGGAACGTCGGGCACAGGCACGACGAACTCGAACTCGAGGAGCGCGTCGCCGGGCTTGCCACTTGAGGCGATCTTGTTGGATCGGAAGCGGAGGATGGCGGCTGCACGGGAAGGAGGGGTGATAGGAAGGGATGATAGGAAGGAGGGATGAGGAGACGAGACGGTTGGAAATTTGAAGGAATATGGATGGATAGAAATGAATGTGAGGGGTTCTGCAGGGGCGTGCGCAGCCTAGTTTTTCGTTCGTAATGGTCGTTGTAAGATACGATATATTGCTTAAGTTTTTGTTCAAGATTCGGCTTCGCATGTACACTATGCTCTTCGTCAATTCTTGAACGCTATCTGTGCAGGCCAACGCACAGACGCGTCTCGCCACGTCTCGTCGCGCTTCGAAGTGTAGACTGAAGGTACATGCAGCACGTTATTCTTATGTCCAAAGAAAAACCATTGGGCATAAAACGCACCTTCGTCCCGAGGCAAATAATCCAAGTAATGCACCCCTCTAAACACCCACTTTCTTGTAACGAGCGGGCCTCCAAACACCCCATCCCAGCGCCTGAGGATCGCCGCTGCGCGTTTGGCCAACCCGTGGCCGCTGGAGGAGGTGAAGGGCGAACAGGCGAGGTTTTGGAGGGTTAGGTGGAGCGCTTGGGTCTGGAACGAGTAGAAAGAATTTGCTGAGCTTCGTTCCTGCCATCTCTGGCTAGGCCAAGCAAAAAAAAGGGGCAAGGAAATACGTACATAGAGGTTCGTCGCATTCTTATCTTCAACTTGCATGCCCTCCAACGCGCCAAGTACCACCCCCGCCCTCTTCATCGCCCCGGTACTCGCCCTCTCTCTCTGTCCGTGGCGCGAACCAGACCCCACCTCGGACTGGTACAGCGCGACCCTCAGCCCTTCGAGCTCGGTGGCAATTTTGGCTGGGTAGAGAGCGTGGAGGTAGGTCTGCTGGGTGGGCCCAAGGGTGAGGTCTTCGTAGTAGAGGGAGAGATTTTCTAGCCTTCGGAGTTCTCCCGGGATGAGTTGAACGTATCCTTCAGCTCGGTGGGGTAGTTCACAGCGCGCTTCCACCAATGCATCCATCGCCTCGCACATCTCGGCCCTAATGAAGTTGGCGTTGATGAAGAACCGGCAGGTGTGGAGGTGGGGCGCGAGTACGACTCTCTTTTGGTTGCTTGCCGCCCCTCTAGGACTAGGACTAGGTGTATCGTCCGCGCCATGTGCCAATGCGGCGATGTCGCTCTCGTGTGGGATCGACGCGTCCAGATATTCAAGGTTGGGTGTGAGCTTCAGTAGAGCAGTTAGAGAGCCCGGAGGGACGGTGGCGCTCCTGAACGCGAGGTAACGTAAGGGCGAAGGCTCGTCGGTGTTAGATAGAATTACGATCAACGACCCCACGATGTCACCCGCCGGACCTGCGATTTCTATCGACTCAATCGCCGGAAGGGAGAGGTTATTGAGCGCATCGGGGCTTGCACCACTATGACTGAATACGACCTGGAGTTTTCTGAGCCCATACAGCGTCACCGCAGGAAATGGGGGGCAATTCTCCAGGGACAAGGCGCTCAGGGAGAGGAGCGAGCAACCGGCCTGGTTGAGGACTTGAAGGAGGGCGGAGTGGGTGTGCGTCGCGTCGCGGAATGAGGTGAGGTGTGCGTAGGGCAGGGCAATTTGGGTGCGCCGGAGACCTTTGAGGGTGACGGAGCGAAGCAGGGGGGCGTCTTCGAACATAGTGTAGGGTTCTGGGTCGACGGAGGTGTTGGAGGAGGCTGTGTGGTCCCAGATATTGAGTGTGAGCTTGCGCAGGAGCGGAAGGCGGCCCCGAACGCAGGCGAGGGCAGGCAAGAACCGCGCGTGCGTGTCCAGTGTCAGGCTTTCCCACTGCTCTGCGCGGGCCGCGACGAGCGCGAGGACGGGCATTGCCCTTGTCTCTGGCGCGGACAAGGTTGAGAGACTCACTGCGAGAGGGGCGGCCGTCGACCGCTTGAGGACGGTGCGCAGGCACACCAGGGCTGCAGCATCGCGCGCGGGGGCGGTCTTGTGGTTCTGCAGTGTTATCGGAGGAAGGGAAGTCCAGAGAGAGGGCGTGGCTAGTGCAAGAGCGCGCCATGAGACACAGACATGCGAGATGGCGAAGATGTCGTGCAGGAACCTGCCGAGGGTGGGCGGGGTGCTCAGGAGTCCTACTTGTTCCGGGGTGTGGGAGGAGAGCGGCTGGAGGTGGGAGAAGACCTCGCATAGGAGCTCCGGGGGCAGACGGCGAATGGGCGCAAGGACGGTGCGGAGCGCGTTCATAAAAGTACCAAGGCGCTCGAGCTTTCGCCGCGCGCTGCGGTCCCAGGCGTGGTGCGAGCCATTTTGGAGCTGTGTGCGCTCGGACTCTACACGTGCGATGAGGGCGAGGATCTGGGCTTCTTCGGAGGGGGATGGTGCGGTGTTGGAGTTGAGGAGGTGCGGGAAAGGGGAATCAGGGAGGGTGGCTGTGGTGGGTTTGGAGGAAGGGCCGAAGAGGGAGATGACACGGTTCCTTCGTCGTGAGTTTGAGTTCGAAGCTTTCTCGCTGGAGGGTGGAACCTCGAATTTGAGGACTGTCTATGAAACGCATCGTAAGAGGCTAGATGCAGGACAAGGCGTGTTGGACTGACCGTTGCGCTCATGCTATCGGGCATGGTCAAGGGCGATTGGAAGAAAGGACAGCACTGGAGGACGTGGTCGAGTGCTGAGGGTGGGGACCGGGGTGTCCTTGAAGGATATGCCTGCGTGGGTGCGCCATGTCAGAGAAGCTGAGCAGGAGGGAGCAGGAGGGAGCAGGGGGAGCACTCGAGCAGGGATCTGGATGCGGCCGAGGACGTGCCGAGTCTGAGCTTGGGAGCCAAGAAGAGAGGTCTTGCGCCAATAGAAAAAAAGTGTGTTGGGGCAGCGTATAGCGCTGGTGGTGGTTCTAGCAGAGAGGAGAATAATCGCAACGAGGGATGATCATACCGATGAGGAGACGAGAGGGTTGGGCCTTGGGCGATTACATAAAGAAGGGCTGGACGGACGTGTGGGTCACGGGTGTATGGATAAGTTTGAACTTCGTGCAGCCTACATAGTCTTTGTTCGTCGGGATGGACGTATGCTACGATGCGTTGCGGTGGATTTATTGGGTAGGCCCGAGGTGAGGTCTGCATAATATTAATAAAAGGAGAGGCGGGGGAGTTTGCCTGGGACGAGAACGCCTTCTTGGTCCTCCGCGGGCGGAACCGGTAGGTGTGAAGTTGGGGTATGAGTACGACCCTTTTGCGGTTGTCCACCCCTCGAGAACCAGGTGCCGTGTCATCCGCGCCGTGGGGTAAGGCGGAGATGTCCCTCTCGTACGGTGACGGCGTGTCCAGGTGGACCAGGTTCGGCGTTAGCTTGAGTACTGCGGGAAGGTCAGAGCCTGGCGAGACGGTGGCGCCTCCGGACACTGGGTGTTTGACTAGGGAGGAGGTGTTGAAAGAGGAGGTATAGGTGCTAGAGGGGTGCGTGTTGCACAGGATGGCGATCAGGGGGCCGACAATATTTATTATCACCCCCGGGTTCTGAGATTTCCATCGACTCGATACTCGAAGCTGGAAGCTTGAGGCTTGAAGGCTGATGTTATTCAGGGCATCGAGGAACCACCTGTTACCTGCAGCTTTCTTGGAGCTATACAGCGATGCCCGGTGCGCTGGGCGTCTTCCAAGGGGGTGGGAACGGCGCTGGATGTGAGGAGGTGCGGTAAGGGAGTTTCGGGAAGGTTTGCAACGGTGGTGAGTTTGGAAGAGGGGGAGAAGAGGGAGCTCATGACACGGTTCCGCCGTCGTGAGTTTCGAATTCGAGGCTTTCTAGTTACTCGTTGGAGAGCGGAACCTTGGATTTGAGGACCGTCTATGGAACGCATCGTTAGATGTCACAGGCGAGATAAGGCGCGTTGGACTGACCGTTGTGCTCTCGTGCATGGTCAAGTTCAAGGGTGGTTAGCTGTTGGTGCGGAGGTCAGCACTGCAGGTCGTTGTCGTGTGCTGGAAGTGGGGATCACCGGGGTATACTCTGTACTCCTCTCAAAAAATGACTTTATCAAGACGGCTAGTTTCGAGACTACCGGGTATGTAGGACTCCGACTTCAAACATGCGCCTGCGTGCGTCCGAGCAGGTGCCCATCCGGGCTTGGGAACAGAGAGCATGCGTTGTAGACCGCTTTATAGGATTGGTTGAATCGCCGGGGCACGATAAAGAGGAGAGGAGAAGTGGACAGTGGACAAAAGGGAATTCTGTACGAAACGTAGCTCGGTATCCGAGCCGTGAGAGAACTTGAACGCCCTCACGTGGTCTCATTTATCGCGTCGCGTCAGGTCGCGTCGAGCAGAAGCTGGGCGAATGAGCTCGACGAACGGGGGGCACTTAGTTCCAGAGGTGTGTAGCGTTTTCCTCTCATATGTAGGAGGTGTGTATGGGTTGTAAAGATACTTTGAGGAATTAGACGGGAAACGCCATTCTGTGGACAGTGGCATAAGCGCACGGAAGACAAAGCATGGTCACCGCAGAGTAGTGGCATCGAGACAAAAAAATTGCCACATACTCTCATACTCCTTCCACATCTACCTCTTTTTTTAGCATGACCTGGGAGTCCCTCTTCGACATCCTGAACAGGGACGACTCGGACACACACTCTCCCCCCGGGCCTCCTCGGCCATCTTCTCCAAGAGACTCTAGTTCCATATCGCCAAACGACTCAGATCTCCCCAACAGAGAGCCCTCATACGACGACAGTTTTATCTTCGAGGGCGACTTATGCGAATGCGAATGCGGGGCGTACCACTCCGAGTCTGAAGGAAACCCCTCCAAGTCCTTCGAGGATGAAGTCTTCGAGGAGGTCTTTGAGGAATGTATCGCGTCCGATCAGGGCATGGACATTGATGAGGAGTTGAACGACCAGGACGACAATCGGTGGGTCATTCCACCCCTTTCCACTTCGGTGGTCTTTAATTGTAACACCCTCACACGGCTTTCTACTAGCACCAGACTCCCCCAAGCCAACTTCCCTGTATCCCTCGCGTACATCCTCCCACCCACACCCACAGAAGCTGAACGAAACGAGATATGGGACGCGGCGATGTCGGTCCGCGACCGGCCTTATGCGCGTCGTTTAATTCTGGAGAAGCAGGGGGGGTTGAGCAAGGAAGAGGACTACATGAGGGTGGAGACGTGGGCTCGGGAAGGGTATTGGCTTAACGTTGGGGAGGAAGAAGTGAGCCAGGGAATGGGAGACGGGATGGGTGGTGATGCACAGGAGGAAGAGGAAGAAGACAGCACCCAAGAACTCGACGATGGGAGTCGCCGGATGGCCGACAATGACAAAGTCGATGGAGAGACGGACTGCCAGTGGGATGGTGGCTCTGACTCAGACTTGGGTTCGGAGGCGACCTTGGCCTCGAGATTGGAAGCCGCCAACGGCGAGTATGAGCATTTGAATAAGAGTCCGCCTTCTCCGCCGGCACGGTTTGAGCGTGAGTCTAAGACGTCGGGTTTGACCTTGGAGAACGTCAGCGAAGAGGTCAAGTATCCGACTCCAGCTTCAACGTCAACCTCGAAGCCGACTCCTCTTTCAACTTCCACCTTTGACATCGCATCCCCTCGGACGCCAGCGCCGACTCTTGCCTCATCCTCTTCGAATTCCCCAGGCCCAGCCACGACGGATCTCAAAGACGAAGACGAAGACGAAAATCGCGGAGGAGGTCCTGGTCCAGAGGTCGGCCATTCAGTGGCATCTCAAGAGCGGGCAGATGTGTCGGTTGAACTTGAAGCCGTTGAAGGCGAATGCGAAGGCGAAGACGAGGGAGTAGAACCAAAGGGGGTACGAACGTTGATAGGGATATATAGTGATAAAGTGTGTGTCATGGAGTCTATGGACGGAAGGATTATGAATTACTTACTCTACAGAACACAAGTAAACGTGATATGAAGGATAAATCCTAGTGAAAAGTCCGTATGCACGCAGACGCTGAGATCTGATGGTAGCGGTTTCGCAGTTATCATCGGGTGAGGTGTGCTACCATCGGTGCCGGAAACGGAATCCGGTAGGAGTCGGGTTGGGATGAACAGGCGCCTGTTGGATCGTTAGCGCGGACACGGGATTACGGGGCACGATTCAGAATGATATCCCGATTCGCGGCTTCCGACTCATTCACAGTCATTTCTGCCTTCAAACTCCTTCAAGCACTAACGGCTTGTAGGAAAGCATCCAGCCTTTGTAGTTAGTCTATTCGTGGACGTCGAAGCGCTCAGAGTGCTCGAGAGAAGATTTCATCACTCAGCACGTTGGGATCATGCAATCGATGTTGTTTGCATCCTCGTAGACAAGCTTTCAGGAGGTCTGTATTTCCTTCATCTATTTCCCGAGGTACCCAGCTCATCGATAAGGGAATCTGGTCGTTCTTTCGATCCTCCTGGAATTTACCTCTTGCTTACCTCGTTCAGGCCGCCGACGGACACACGGGCCGGACACTCCGATCTCCGCTAGACCCCGGTTGTATTCTGACTGCAGTGGATCTCAGTAGATTCGTTCGCGGCGTATATAGGAGATGAAAGCTTTAATTCGAAGTGCCTGACTTGGAGAGACTGTGATCCATCTGCGACGGAGTGCAAAGGACTCAACAGGCGAGCCAAGCATGAAGCTTGCTGTCATATTTTGCATTCAGGAACTAGAAAAATAATCCAACACGACACAGTCGAAGTTGAGAAATCTCCTGTTGAATAAACATTACTTGCAATTGCCGTCTATTTCGAATTCCTTTTGAACTCCGGGCAATCATTCGCGCCACAGCTCCAATGACCATCCTTGGAGATCTGCCGTCTCTGCCTTCAAATGGATATTTATCTCCAACCGCTCTGAGAGGATTAACATTATCAAGGGACCACGAGCCAACCCTGTACTTTGTCTCCTTCCGCTGTCGAAGATCACTGACTCGCCTGACCAAGATATCACACCCTCAAATAAAAGGTGAAGGATTGGCAAGTAAGTGGGCCCTCCGCGCGAGACGCCGATCATACGGGTGTCTACTCCTCCCCCCTAACATTCTCCTTTACTTACCCTGAATCGCTGGGCACTTCGAGGCACTTCCTGGGGTGGTCAGTTTGCTCGCAATATAAAGGATACAAGGAGCGCTTCTGGGGCTAGGGAACCTTTGTCCGTTTGTGCCCTCCTCTCCGCTTGAACCAACCATGGACAGCACTGATTTCGCCGTGTTCCTCGTCGAGCGGATGAGAATATCTGCCGTAACCAAGGTACTACTCGCGATTCAACCTTTCGCGCTCATGCTAACGTTATCTACCTTTTGCCCTACACAGAAAATCGATTGTGAGTCCCATGCGTTCCAACTTTCTTTGATATTGATTGTGCATTATAGTGGCATCTGCGGTGGTGTTCTTCTACGACTATTTGCTCACCATTGGAATGGAGGTCAAATACATCTGGCCAGGACCGTTAACTGGCATGAAGGTGCTCTACTTCCTTCAGCGATATCTCCCTTTTATCGACACCGTGTGGATAGCTGTTCAAGGTGCGCCATCTTTTATGTATCGGCTAATATACTGGGTACTAAAAATGCGGATTTTGCAGTAAATTTCGCTCCCAACATGGACGCGAAGACGTGCATGACGATGAATGGAGTAGGGAGGTCTCTTATGTGCTTAGGGTTGACTTTGTCGGAGTGTGCGTCGATTGTCGTGGCTTCACCATTGAATTGGGCTGCCCCAGCGCTAAAATACTTCCTTTCTCAGTGGTTTTAACCTTTCGAGCTTGGGCTGTCTGGAACCGGGACAGGGTGCTGACATTTGCCCTTCCCATTCTCTTCGTCGGATGCTTCCTCCCACCCGTCGTGATTTTTGGTATATTCATTGGCACAACGAAATGTGAGTGCGCGCTACGCCGTTATTGATATTCCCTTGCTTTTACAAGAACTTTTAGTTATCGGCCTTCCACCCCCGTCTACGGGTTGCGTTCAAATTGGAGGCGACCCAATTATAACCATCAATTGGATACTTCTTCTCGTGTGGGATGCTCGTATGTCATTCATTTACTAAGCGGCGAGGGGGCAACTATGCAATTTGACGTGCATTCAAAGTCATCTTGATCCTCATGGTAATTCCGGCTATAAAAGCCTGTACGTCTTCGCTTCTTTAGCTACTATTGGCCTTCGCTCACGGAGACCTTTTGTAGACAGATACAGAGGGAATTCGGCACTGTATAGAGTAGTGTATGGAGAAGGTTAGTCCTCGAATTTCTTAGGTCTCTACTTCCGTTGACTCGTTTCGTCACGTAGGGATCGTGTACTACTTCTACCTCTTCAGTGAGTTACTTGCATATGAAGGTGAAAAAAGTATAACGCTGCCCGTTATCCAGTGCTTTCGACGATCAATATTGTGTTGCTTCGCCTCAACGTAAGTGTCAGTTTCCGTCTTAGGAATTTCTCAAGCGCTAACTCTGGAGAACAGATTGATGAATCCTACCGATTCATGCTGACCTCGTACGCCATGCTTGTTCCTCCTCGATGTCTCGTTTTCTGATCTCAGCAGGATGTCTCGCTGCTTCCACTCGCTTCTTACAAGCCGTGCCCTACTACACATCCGGAAGGCCGGTCTTGAACACGAACCACATCAAGAAATCATTAGCGGAGACCATCCAGTTTACTGACAAGCACCTCAAATCACTATCACTAAAACTACGAAGACGTGGACTTGATACCAATGAAGTGAGAAGTTGAACGATTTACACATATCGTATTTCCAAACGAAGTGATATACCTTGCCCATCATCAGCAGCCCTTCAATTGATATTAAGCGCCCGGCATCATTCCTTTGATTTACCCCCTTGGGCGCTGTCTTCTCTCTGACTTATATCTCCGTTGAATAATAATCTGTGCTACGGTGTGTCATATTTAATAGGCTCTATGAACAAGAAAGGATAAGGGTCTTCACCAGCTTGTTGTATGGTCGGTCGGTCCTCGGAGTCGATAAGAGATTGCCGAAACCCAGCGTGGGAAATGCAAGATCAAATACGTTCTTCTGTTTCCACCTCCTTCGATTCGTGCTTTAGTTTCTCTCTGTGACTCCGTCTCTAACGACAAAACAGAGGAAAAAATCAAACCTTTTCTCATGTCCCTCGGTTCTACCTTACTCTGGTGTCTCCTTCGAAATTCTTTCCTTTGTTGCCTTGGAGAATTTCTGCTTCCTCCAGTGTTCCTCCGTCACGCGAGTTTTCATCAAGTTCTCCATGTAGATGCTTCTCACTCTCGCCCCACACTTCTGGCTTGACAAATACCAGTACCTTGACCATATTATGGATCCTGACACTTCAAGGAGGACCCGACGGAGCAAATCCGAAGACTCTGAAGAAGCAGGGAGAGACGGCGTCGCCGTTGAAATCCTCCTGAGCACCGTTGCACGTGGGCGCCTCATGCTGGCGTCTGAACTTTGGAGAAGTGAAGACTCTCGTGAGTCTCCTGTTGTGTGTTAGTGTCCAAGAAACGATTCGCCTTGGATGGTCACAGTGAATTGAAGTCCTGGGCTCAACCCAGGCATTTATGACCCCCGAATCTGCGCACGTAGGAGTTCGACTCGGACGCCGGGATGACACATAACACCAAAACCCTCCAGGTACCACCGGATTTATTTAATCACGAAATTCAACAGAGCCTGAACAACATAGTTGAAACAGTGAAATTATTGGCAGACGGCAACAAACATTTCTACACGTACAGCAGTGCAGCGGAGCCCAGCTCGTACCTCTTTTGTGGTGGTATGTCTGGTCGGAGAGGCGACAACCACCATCATTTACTGACTTGCACCCCCTAAGTCTCTGGTGTTACTGTAAACCGGGCTTCAGGAGAGTTTGTCGCCCAGAAGCGTCGTGCAGGGTGGGCTTTCCGTGTTCTTTCATGTGCCCGTTGGTGATCATCTGCGTAAGGCTATATCACCGCCATGGGGAGTCCTTTTCCCGCCCCCGTCGTCCCCTCCGCTTCTCTTTCCTTTTGGCTGCGACTGCGAACAGTGAGGGCGACCATGGATAGTGTTGACGTGGCTCTCATGCAGATATCAATTCGGGCGAAGGTGGGGTCTTTCGTGCTTTGCTTTCTTTGCGTGTCTACTTACCTTGCGTGCGCAGATGGTTGATCGTGGGTTCTTCAGGTGTCCTACAGCACGCCCTCGTATCCTGACAGACGCGTTTGAACCGTATCTATAGTGGCATCTGCTGTGGTGTTTCTCTGGGACTACCTCCTTACAATTGGGATGGAAGTCATATATGTCTGGCCGAGCCCATGGACGGGGATGAAGGTCATATACTTCATCCAACAATACCTTCCTTTCATTGACACCCTCTGGATAGCGGTCCAAGGCAAGTCTTGAATCCGTCTCGCTTGGGATCAAGGTCTTATTTGTGCTCTCTGCATAGTCAACTTCGCGCCAAATACAAGCGCTCATACTTGCCTCGTATTGAACGCTGTTGGGAGGTTTCTCATGTGTTTTGGATTGGCTTCATCGGAGCGTGCGTCTCTCTACCTCTATATTCTTCCATCTCTGTCCTTACTAGGACTTTGATTGAATCCTTCTCACTGTTCTCAGTAATTTTGACATTCCGAGCATGGGCCGTCTGGGACCGGCATCGGGTGCTTACCATCCTTCTCCCGATCCTCTTCTTGGGTTGCTGCATTCCTCCTCCAATAATTCTTGGACTATTCATCCCCACAACGGAATGTCAGTACGCCTGCGCTTTGTTCCGCTTGCCATTGTTTACAATTCTTCCTGTAGTCCAGCAACTGCCGCCGCCGTTGAGTGGTTGTGTACTAGTTAGAGGTTATCCAATTGTCGCCGTCGCTTGGATCCTCTTGCTCGTATGGGACGCTCGTGCGTGGTCTTTTGTTTTCATTCGTCTTCTGTCTTGCCAAATCTTTGCAGTAATATTGACTCTCATGGTCATCTCGGCTATAAAGGCCTGTAACACTGCAGCTCTTCCCAAATAAGCACCTGACAAACATCGCATAGATCGCTACCGAGGAAATTCGGCTCTTTACAGAGTCGTATACGGCGAAGGTACGTTTCCGACGAGAAGCCTTCGCTCCTTGTGTTTGACTTGAATCGTTCTTATAGGGATCATCTACTACTTCTATCTCTTTGGTAAGTCCAGACACGGGACTATATGGAGCACCCGTTCAATGTGTTGCAGGTTTCTCCGCGGTCAATATCGTCCTATTGCATCTAGGAGCAGTAAGTCGCCTTCTCAACCTTCCAGTTCAATATTTCTGACCCCTTGTGCAGGTTGACACGTCGTATAGGTTCATGCTAACCTCGTACGCTCCCTCTCTTATTCGTTGACAATAGATGTTGATAAATCCCACTGGAATGTCGCGCGTTTTCCACTCGCTACTGACAAGGCGCGTCCTACTACACATCCGCAAAGCCGGCCTCGACCGGGATGCTGACGAGGTTGAACATATCACCCTGTCTATCGCCCGCCGGCTCAAATCGCTGTTACAACAACCACCAAGAGGTGGGTCTGACGCCCAGGGTTAGAAAGTGTACTATACTCGCCTGTTCTTATAGCAGGCAGCACTCTTTGATAAACTCAAATTTCCAAGAAATGCTACTAGTAAATGTACGACCAGTAAAGACGAGTAAAAGCGTAGAGCTGAATAGATCTGGCAAATGAGGAAACACTGGAGAGAGGCGCATGAACATATGTAGCACCCAGCATCCTGTGCAGCTTGTTTTCGAGTCTTCAGGTTCTATCATTCAGAGGACCTCGACAAGATAGATGGTCGGAACAAGCACAATCATCCAGGTCTGAGATCTGAATCTTCGATAACGGGGCTCAATTGCAGGCTGCACTGACTGCATCAAATTCAGATATCATCCTCCGGCCCCTCCTCGATCAACTTCGCGTAGTCCTCATAGTTCGCAAACGTAGGCAGCGAGCGCAACTTCTTGCGCTTGCTGCCCTTCCCACCGGCCATCGCCTGCTTGTGTTTCCGCTTCTTGTCGTTCTTTGAGGTGCCGATACCGTGCCACTCCTCCGGGTCAACGTCAACATCGGGTACGAGCACACCGGGGTCATCGCCGTCGTCAGAGTCGTCGGGCCTGTCGTATTCGATGAGACCTTCGGCTTCGGGTACGTCTCCGTCTAACGAGATGAGGTCCTCGTTATCAGAACCTTCGATGAGAGACATGATGTCGTCGTCCTCGCTGTCCTCTTTTTCTTCAGCATCTTCATCCTCTGCCTGATCGTCGTCATCGTCTTCGACAGCAAGGCCGCTGTCATCTCCAAACTCCGGTACTTCGTCTTCATCATCGTCATCGTCCTCGCTGCCGCTGTCGTCCATGAGGTCATCGTCACCTGCCGTGGGCATGGACGCTTTCATGGCCTGGTTGAAAATATGAATATAGTGACTCATGTTCGAGAAAGTCCGCAACGTACCTTCCAAATCTCCTCCTCTTCGAGATCGCTATCCGCCTCTTCGTCCTAATCCCTGCCTGCCAACTTCTCTCCTTCATCTACTTCCTCTTCTTCATTGTCATCCCCTTCTCCTTTCTCCTGTTCCTCCTCCTGTTCCTTTTCATCTTCCTCCTCATCCTCGTCCTCGGCACCATCTTTCCTCTTCTTCGTCATCGCCCTCTCCCTCTCCTGCTTCCTCGTGGAATAATCATGGAAGAACAACTAATCCCAACCCAAACTATCAACCCAAATCCCCTTTCCTTCGCAAAAAATAAACAAACACAAAACACCCACCTGATCAACCGGCACCTCGCCCCTCTTCCTCCTCACAAACGCCTTCTCGTTCACCCCAAGCCCACCGCCACCCGGCATCTCGCCCTTCACCAGCTTCACCCCCTCCAGCGCACTCGCCGCAGGCTGCATCACGCTCGCTCCTTTGGCGCCTAGTATCACAGTTGTATGCGCATCTTCACCCGTGGCGTTCTTGGTGTTTTTAAGCTTTTTGGGGTTCTTGTACACGAACCGGTCGAGGAAGTGCGAGAGGGTGTTCTGCGAGAGGTCAGCGGAGGCAGTGAGGGGCTGCTAGGAGAGGAGCTGGCGCGCGTGCAGGGAGATGGCGGGGTGGTAGTGGTTCATGGCAAACGGGTACCAGTGCCCGGCATGTCAGGGAAAGACTGCGCAACCAGAGCTGAGAGTAGAACGTTCAGGAGGGATGTCTGTGTGTGGGGTTTTTTGGTTAGTTTATTTTGGTAGGATGGGTGGGAGAAGGAAAGGTAGACGTACGAGCTCCCACAAAGACGACGAACCAGCATGTGCGAACTGCGGTTCTCGCTTCCTCGGGTCGTACTCCTCCTCCTCTCCATCCTTCGCCTCCTTCGGCGGTCGCGTAACCATCTGCCTCAACGCCGGTATCGAGCTGAACAGCTGTCCAAGAACCTCATTACCATCCGCTTTCACCTCACGCAAAGAAAGAAAACACACCCCTCTGAGTAAATACAACCCCCCAGCCACAAATTCCGTCGCGCCCCCACCCCCACTAACCAACACCTGCACGATCCTTCTCACGAGCGCCTTCACTCTTTCGTTATCTTCCTTACCCCCCGTGGACCCTACGTCAGCTTTGACGCTGTTGAAGAAGAGGTTGAGGTACATCGCCTGCTTTGAGGAAGTGGCAAGGCGCGTGTTGTGTAGTGAGGCGTAGAGGGTGCGGTAATACCTGTCAATGATGGATTTTGTGGTGGTTTTTGATGATGATGGGGTGGTGGTGGTGGTGGTGGTAGAGGAAGACTGGGAGGAGGAGGAGGAGGAGGAGGAGGAAGAGAGCATGGAAGCGGTGATTTGCTGGATGAGCATGAGCGCCTGCAGCGAGACGTTGACCATCGATTTGTGCGTGATGAGGAAGAGCGTGTCGATGTGCTTGTTGATCCTGTTATTCTGTTCATCACCCCAATCACTACTTCTTCACAAAAAAACATCGCCGACAAGGACGACAAGGAAGAAGAGGAAAAGCGAAAAAAAGAGAAAGAGAAACACACCCAACATCCCCAGCCTCCACCTTCGCGAACGGCAGCGCGCGGTTCACACCGGTCAGGATCGCAGAGACGAGGCGCGGGCGCGAGTTCGCGTCTTCGACCTCTGTGAAGCCTGCAGCCCCTTTCTTCTCCCCTGCTTTCTCCCCTCCCTCAGTCTCCCCTTTCTTCTTGCCCTTGCCAGCATCTAGCGCTCTAGCACCCGGCTTTTCTTATCTGTATTCACCTCCTTATCCACTTCCCCATCAGCACCGCCGTCAGCGGCAGCGGGAGAGTCAGACTCGGACCCCTCGCCCAACACCTCCTTGAACATCCCGAAATACACGTCCAACAACCGGAGCGCGACCTCGCGATCGGCGGGCGAGAGGACGATCTGGTTGAACGTCACGGCGGCGTAGTACCGTGCATGGGGTTGCCTGGTTTTCTTTCCTTCTCCTTGGGTTTGGGTTTGGGTGTGGGTTACACTGGGTTTGGGCTTCGCCGCCGGTGTGGAAGAGGAGAACCTGATATGTTTTCCCTTCCCCGTCGGCGGTCGCATCGGCGGTGCTAGCAGAAGTCGACGCAGCAGCACCAGAGGCACCAGGCCGCATAACCATCCCCACCACCTCCCTTACCACCACACCCTTCATCTCCGGATGTCTCTGCAACAGCTGCAGGATATGCCGCGACGCGCGCACAGAGCGCAGAGCGCCTTGTCGGTGTCGTCCAGCTTGTTGACGAGCAGCCGGAGGAGGTTACGGTTGTGTTCCTGCTCCGGCGAGTCACGCAGGAGGGTGGATATGAGCGTGAGGGACTGGGTGCGGACGTAGGGCAGGTGGTCGAGGGATAGGGTCTAGGAAAAGGGGGTGAGGGTGGTAAGTTGGCCGGGTCTTTTTGGAAGGGAAGAGGAGGAGGCACACCTCGAGGATCTGGAGGATGGAGAAAAAATACTTCTTGAGCCAGTCTTCAAAGTACCACACCACCAAATACCCGTCTGTCACCCCAGGATGCAACAGCGGCTTATCTCGAAAATACCTATCCAATCCAATCCTCAGCAACACCCTTCCAATTTTTTTTTTGACAAAACCACCTACCTCAACTTCCGCCCCGGTACCCCACCCCCAACCCACCAATCAACAACACACCTCAGCGCCTTCAAGCTTCAAGCTTCAAGCTCTCCTCCCTCCCTCCCTCCCTTCTCCCCCAGCCCCCTTAACCCTTCCAGCGCCTTCGTATTATGCACCAGGCTACTCTGCACGAGCAGCGTCAGCGCACTCAGTCTACTCGACAACGTTCCGGACTGGATGATCTTGGCCATGAAGGACGCCTCGGAGGCGGCGGCGGAGGAGGCGGCGGAGGTGGTGGTGGTGGCGGGCCACTGGCGGCGGCGGTGAGGAAGGTGTCAGTGTCAGCTGCATGGAGGGATGCGGCCTTTGAGCAGAGGGCGGCAGGTTGGGCGGGGGTTGGGCGTTGCAGATGCTAGGGCGGTGTTCTGGGGAGGGAGAAAGGGGAGAGCGGCGTACCATTGCAAGGTTGGGGCAAAGATGAAGCTTGAAGTGTGATTTGGGGTTGATCGCGATTGGGACTTTCGTGGGGAGCTTTCCGGTCAAAGGCATTGCAAGACATAGTTCCGCCATATCCTTCACTTAAACAGTATTTAGTCTCCATTTTATACCACTGCATCCATTAACATGTTTTTCAAGGCGCCGAGCAATGTCTAGACTATTTATACGGGGGCTAATTTGACCATCACCTGTGATCCGAGCAAGAAAATTGGGTGCTAACAAGACTGGATTGAAATATGTAATCTACAACTCTCTGGAAGGCGGATGGCCAAATGAAAATGTGAACAGCCATTCGAGCTTTGGTTGGTCGGCCTCTGGTTCTCGTAGGATGGCGTCCTGAATCTCTTCCTCGGTGGCAGAGTGAGCAGCAATATTGCCCCGATCCCTGACACGATTCCACCCGCAGAGCAGGTGTACACAGTCCTGGGGGATAGCAATGCCCGAAGACCTAAACCTAGTGGAAACATACTGACGAAGCTGCTCCGGGGTGCGGCCTTCGACCGCTTCAGCCCAGGACGGCTCTTGAATGAGAGGGAGGGTTCGGTCCCTGGCATTGTCCAGGAGGACTCGTAGATAAAGAGGTGAAAGAGCAATAGTCAGCTACGAGGTGAAAAGGAGGTTATGGCGAGTCAATGGAACACTGAGGAGTAATCCAACATACCAATCGAATTGCGTCAACATCGTGAGCGCGTTCTTGTTGAGAACGAGCTTGTTCTGCCTCGAGGCTGGCAACCGCCCCCTCAAGTTTCTCGATCTTGACCTCCTTGTCTATCAGCTTCGCATCGTACTCATCCCTATCTCTCACGACCGCCGCTTCCAGCTTAGCCGACCTTGCCGCGAGCTCCTTCCTGTCTGTCGCTGCCTCGGAAACTTTCGTCTGGAGAACCGCCACCTCGGCTTTGAGACCCTTCATATCCTTTTCGCGCTGCTTCCTCTCTTCATCGCGCTGCTTCTTCTCCTCATCCAAGCGGGCTTGTAAAGCTCCAAAGTTCAATGTATATTGAGCGACCTTTTCCTTCAGGTCTGCATCTTTGACGGGTCAATCTTCTCTGGTCTCAAACAAGCAATAAGGAGAACCCACTTGTTTGCATTATCGAGGTAGCTTTCGCACCAACTTTCGAAGGTGCATCATCTCTATACAAGATTAGCAATTCTTCGACCATGGCGACGTTGGTATGCTCGTCAACTAGCAAGCTCGTGAGTATTCGGGACGACGTTCACCAAAATGGAAATCGAGCTCACCTGGCGGGGAATACTGGCAACGCCAAGTCATGCAATCAACACAGTCGTCGCCAGAAAGTTCGAATTTTTTGTTGATGTCCTTTTGGATACTCAGTCCCATCATCGCGACTGCTTCTCCCACGGTCACATCCTTCCCGTTTGCTCTCTTGGTGGAGACTGCCCCCTTCTTTCAAAAAGTCGGGTCTGCGTAAACAGCTTCGAACATGTGGGTAGCGGGGCTCGCCATGGGTGTTGCGGAGAGGAGTTAGATAACTCGGTATTGATTGCGATAAGGAGCTGTTGATTATGTAATCACATCGTCAGTTCTATCACATCGTCAGTTCGTCCTGCAGTTTGGTTCAGTGTTTCGTAAATCTTTGGTGATATTTACATGGCTGAAGGACGTGATAAAGAGTCAAGTTTGGATGACCAGGCTGCTGACGCAAAGATAAAGCAAAGAAGCAATCATTGGAAGCAAATAAGAGACTTAGTGCTGATTCTGAAGCGCGATGCGACTCGCGTGGTCCGCAATAGACTCATCTGGGTCGATTTCGGCTTGGCTTCACGGTGATGTTGGCGATAGAGATGACAGAAGCGATAAGGGCGTAACAGCCGGAAAAGGAGACACGACTGCAGGAGATGACGCAGACGCACAATGAGCCTCGGTGTCGGCGAGTATTCACATTATGAGTGGCACGTTCTCCCAATGATCTTTCCTAAAATTGCATTTCGGTACTTAGAATATTTTTTGCTTGTGAATTCTTTGTTGATCTTGAACTTCTCTGGAATCGTTCTTCACGGCAGAGCAACTTGCCAATCTTATATTCACCATGTGTGAAGAAGGGAGAATTAACAACATATTGACGTCTTAGATGATATACATAAAAGTCACATCAAGCGCGGTTGTGGCTACGAGATCGACGATGGAAAGGTCGGAATGATTGATGAAATAAAGTCAATACTTGTCTTGAAGATCGAAGAAGAAACATTACCCCCCGGTTTTGAAATTCTGATTGTTTGCGGGGTGTATTTTATCTACGTTCAAGGTTATCCAGTGAGGTTGGGCCCTGTTTCGGACATGAAAAAGCAGAAGGATATTAGCGAATTTTGAAAAATGAAAATTGGAGGATACATATGCTTGATACTCGGAAAATCGTTGACACTATGTAGGTGAGAGCATAACAGATGTGAAGGCAGGAACGAGCGAGCGTCGAGGAGATCACAATAAGATAAGAGTAATGAGAGCACTCAATAACCATGCCTTGCTTACCTTCGTCCATAAAGTCTCCTGGTTGATCACCCGAATATGGCGGCGATTGTCCTAACACATCGAGAGCCACACAAATGAGCCAACAAGCAGGGTTTCAGAAAGCGAATTCTCTTGATATATTGGAAGAAACGTACCGATCTATGGAGGTCGGAAGCCAACGTCTTCTGCTATTGTTCGAGCGAGAAAATCGTCACTCAAAGATCTCAGCACAGTTTAAACTCGATTGATTTTTGGGAATTGGCGTATGTGGTGCTCTAAGAGGAAGCATGACAACTCTTGAGGAGTGCCGTGCTTGCATTAAGGAGTTGACAGAGATCAGAGCAAAGGAGAGCCTGCATAGGCCGTGACGATTCCAGAGGATGAGTTGTGGAAATCGGTGTGTGGTCGGGTATGCGAGGCCATGAAGCATGGTGTTGAGTGTGAGACGGAGGACCCCTGTCGATATCTCCTAGAACGACATTAAAGACATTTTCTGGGGGAAAGAGATGCATACATACATAGCTATAACCACTATTTCTCAGATCTTGTATCTGCTTCCACACGCGCCTACGTTCTGGATGAGTGGGTTGCCAGGTTCATGCGGAGCAGGATGCAGGTTCGGCTTTCATTTTCAAGAACAAGTCTGAGTGCACAAGGCGATGTTATCTCTCAAGCTGGAAATGACTGAAAGGTAAGCGACACAGGAACATGGGAGAGGATGTCGACGAAGATGGAGAAACATGTCGTCTTGCGTCAGAATCGCTCATCGACAGAGTAGAAGGCTGCATACAGTACCAGGAGATTAGAAAAGGTCAAGTCAATTTGACTATGTCAGGATTACCCATACAGACCGAGATCTCTGAGATGTCCGGCTAGTGTCGAGGTTCAAGTGCATTTCCCAGAATCCAGATATGCAGATAGGCAGAGAGCAGGATGATGTTCGTATGCAGCTAAGTCTCTTTCAGAAATCTGAAGAGCCATTAGTGACCAAAGACGTTGGCAGTAGTTGAACGGCGGGAAAGATCGACGCAGAGACTAAGAAGGTGAAGCCAGTTCCTTATCGCCGATCTGGAAATATTTGGGTCCACGCATTGCATGTCCTGGTCCTTGACCCGAACCTTCATCACCCTCTCACTCATGCTCGCACCCACTGTCACCTTTCTTGCAGCCGTTGATTCTTGTGGTAAGTATTTGGTCTTTGGCGTTAGTTTCCTTCCTTCTGACCACGTTGATTTTCCATTTGCAGCTATTGTCGGTGACCCCGCCTCTCGCATCTGAGGCAGCCACCACAGTACACGATTTGATCAAGACTTGGCTTCAATAGCTGGAGTATTTGGATATGTATTAAGTGCATATAGTGTACTTTCTGCATATACAAATCGATCTAATTTCGTTACAGCCATTCATTTCTGTCCCGCCTGCATTCCCGACGCCCCACCCCATCTACCGCTACTACATTCACCCAACAACTCTTCTCCTCTTACGTTCCCTCTCTATGCAATCTACTCTATCAATAGGGACGACCAAACGTGTGATCCGTGCCCTCATCCTGTCGAGTGTTGGGTTTTCGTGGTGAGCGCGTGGACCCCTGGACGGTGACGACGTCTAGGTGATGGTGGGGTCCTCCATGATGGAATTAAGGGCGCTCGTACGTGAATAGGAGATACAGGTACGCATGGAAACGGTTTCCGTTCCTCATTATGTTGCCAACTTTCATTCCAGTCATTAATACTGTTTGCGTGCCCGCCCTCAAAATCGGACAGTGTGCGTCTCTCGACCCGCAGTCTCCAAGACCTCCTGCAACTGTGTGAGGACCTGCGCTTGGACTGTATGTGTACCTAGCACCACCGACTTCTACCGGCTGCCCTCTGAATCGTCACGGTCGACAATCCATCGCTCCTCATATGTGGTAACTCAATGTCCTGCGACGCACCCCGCTGCCAGGTCTGCGTGCATCCAGCATCTCCTTACCCCGTTCTTGACACGCTATATATATCAGAACACACACGCCATCCAGCCGGAGTCGGAGCCGCAGCGGCACCTCTCCAGGCGAGCTGTGGTCGACCCGATTGATTGTGTCTGGTTCAAGGCAATATGCACCCTTCGTTAGGTTAGTACGTCTGTAATTCTACCTCTCTGTTATACGAATACTCACATAATCAACGCTAGAACCCCGAGTTATCGTTTTGCGCCCTTATCCTCCTTGGTCAGGCATAGGTGATAGAGACCACGTCATACCTAACCACACACCGGATGTCTCTGCAACAACTGCAGGATATGCCACGACGCGCCTTGTCGGTGTCACCGAGCTTGTTGATGAGCAGCTGGAGGAGGTCACGGTTGTGTTCCTGCTCCGGCGAGTCGCGTAGGAGGTTGTGTTCCTGCTCCGGCGCGTCGCGCAGGAGGGTGGATATGAGCGCGAGGGACTGGGTGCGGACGTAGGGCAGGGGGTCGAGGGATAGGGTCTGGAGATTGTGAACGATTAGATTGCTTCCAGACGAGGGAGGAAATACGGACATCGAGGATCTGGAGGACGGAGAAGAAGTACTTCTTGAACCAGTCTTCAAAGTACCACACCACAAAATACCCGTCCGTCACTCCAGGATGCAACAGCGGCTGATCTCGAAAGTACCTGTCCAATCCAATCCTCAGCAACACCCTTCCAATTTTTTTTCGTTTGGGACAAACCCACCTACCTCAGCTTCTGCCCCGGCACCCCGCCCCCAACCCACCAATGCACAACACACCGCAGCGCCTTCAAACTTCAAGCTCTCCTCCCTCCCGCCCTTGCCCTTGCCCCTTCCCCTCTCCCCCAACCCCCTTAACCCTTCCAAAGCCTTCGTATTATGCACCGGGCTGCTCTGCACGAGCAGCGTCAGCGCACTCAGTCTATCCGACAACGTTCCGGATTGGAGGATCTTCGCCACGAAGGACGCCTCGGAGGAGGTGGCGGAGGCGGCGAGGAAGGTGTGCGTGTCGGCTGCATGGAGGGAAACGGCCTTTGAGGAGAGGGAGGCGAGTTGGGCGGGGGTGGGTGTGGGAGGGGAAGGATTTTTGGGAGACGAGGCGTTCTGCGGAGGGAGGGAGGGCAGGGCAGTGTACCACTGCGAAGTCGGGGCGAAGACGACGTGCGATTTGGGGTTGATCGGGACTTTGGTTGGGAGCTTCGCCTGGGGTCGGTCGGCTGCCCGGCTGGAAGGTGCACCTGAGGGCGCGGACGGGGGCGGGTCGTTGGATACAGGGACGGAGGCGGCGTTCGCAGCGGACGATAACGACTTCGACTCCATCTTCGATTTCTTTTTTTCGGTTTTCTTCGAACGTTTTGACGATTTGTCCGGTTCTGAAGTCGACGTCGACTTTTTTGTGGAGGGTTTTTCAAGGAGGGCCTTCTCCCTCTCCCTCTCCCTTTTCTTCTCCTTCTCCTTGCCTTTCCTTCTGTCCTTCGTTTGCTTCGGCTGGGGCTTCGTCTGGCCGTCCTTTCGGTTAAGCGCCTTCAAGAACTTCGACACCTCCTTCCTGAGCGTAGGCTGCGAAATCGAAATCCCCGTCACCACTTTCGAAACCGTAGACCCAAAAAAAAGAAAAGCAAGAAAACGTACATCATGCTTCTCCTGCCCAGACACCGCACTCTCATCCACAGATCCATATCCGCCTGCTCGCCTCCCAATGCTAAAATCGCATCTTTCGATAACGATAACGATAACGAACCCTGGCCCTTGTCCTTCCTCTTCCCCTTATCCTTCAACTCTTTCTTCGAGGTAGCAGTGAGCACTCGGCTGGAGGGTAGGCGCAGGCTTGGTCGGGCCACCTTTCTCCCTGCGAAGCCGTACCATACGTCCGGTGTCGGTCGGGGGTATTCGAGAGGGGCTGAGTTATGTAGTCGTGAAGAGAGCTGGATCAGAAGGTAGCAAGGATTCAAGAACCCAAGTTGAATGCCGGACGAAGCGTCGAAAATTCTGTGTAGGCACGTGACCGGCGTCTTACTCTCGGGCCGGCGGAATTGGGAGAATACGACGACGCGGAGGATGACCTTAAGCTTCTCACCTTGCTCTCCTCGTCCATGTGCCCCACTCCTCGATTGCAACCCGTCATTTTCGGGTGCGAGTCGTCGAGGACTCGAAGGAAACTCTCTCACCTATTTAAATTTTACGCGTATCCGCCTTCCTTTCTCATAGTTTCTCATGCGCTTGTGAGTCGTCGAAAGTTGACTCGGCCTGGGGAAAGACGTCGACGAAGTGCAGTCCTAACTCAGATCTATGCATGGAAGGTGATGGTGGTAGCGACCGGCAAGGGTGGTGCAACTGTATACACGACCCTCCCTCGGGAGTCGGTGGTGATTGGATTGGAAGGGGATATGTAACCAGCGCTTGGGCGAAGAAGTGAGTCCTTCCGCGTCGCTCATTCACATTTCCTTCTCCAGGCGAGCCCGCTGACTGGTATCCAGA